GACGAATTTATTCCAGCCGAGTTTGAAAAACTGAATAAGTTGTTTGAAGACCTCACTCTAGTACAAAATAAAGTTGTAAGTGTTTGGCTCGACGATGACAGTCGTGATGAAGAGACATTCGACAAAGATATTGTAGAAGCGGATGTCTACGAATCACGTTATTATATGTTGAAACAAAAGGCAAGTAAAACTTTTATTTCTTCTGCAAAATCTACTGTTAAAGAAATGGAGGCAGAGCAGTTGTCGTTGAGAACCAATGGTAACCGACACTTTAAACTACCCAGGTTGGAGTTACCCAGATATAATGGTGAGATAAAAACGTGGTTAAAATTCTGGTCTCAGTTCAAAAAGATACATATGGATGACCAGATTGATGATGATGACAAATTTCACTATCTGCTCCAATGCATGGAAGTAGGGTCGGTAGCTAGAGAATTTTTAGAAAGTTTCCCACCATCAGGTGAGAATTATAGTATTGCTATAGAGCAACTTAAATATCGATTTGCGAAAGACGAAATGATAATAGAATACTATGTGAGGGAATTACTCAATCTTGTTCTGGCGCAAGCTAAAGGTGTACAGAAGGGATCAATTCGTAGATTATATGATTCTCTGACGACACAAATATTAGCACTAGAATCTATGGGAGTAACCCAAGAAAAATATTCCGCATTTTTATTGCCGTTAGTAGAATCTGCTTTACCAGAAGAGACGTTGAAGGCGTGGATCAGATCTCAGGCAAATGATAGAGGTAATGAAAAATTTAGTCCATTATCTAGACTATTGAATTTTGTCAAGTCGGAAGTCGAGTCAGAAGAAAGAATACGTTTATCTCGCTTCAAAGGTTTAGATAACTATTGTAGACAAGATTTTAATATATCTTCTGCTGCATGTTTAAACACGACGTATAAAGATACTAAGAAAAGATTAGGTGAAGGTAACCAATACGATCGTAAGGAAAAAACTTGTATTTGGTGCGATAGACTGTCACATACTAGCTCAGAATGTGCTAGTGCAATTGGTAAAAATTTAGAAGAGCGAAAAGAATTTTTAAAATCGAAGAATGCTTGTTATATATGTCTTAACATTGGACATTCTGCCAAGCGATGTAGGAAGTATCCTAAATGCGTCATCTGCACCAAAAGACATTTTCCATTAATGTGCAGTGATATAAAAAAGTCGATTGCAGGCACTACCATTGCTAGTACGTCACAAGAATCTCAGTCGGTACTAAATCAGAGTGATATTTCAAATAATAAAACAGTTTTATTACAAACTCTGAGAGTAAAAATCTGCAATGGAGATGAGAATATCACAGTAAGAGTTCTTCTGGATAGTGGTGCCCAACAGACATTTGTTACTAAAGATGTTGCTTCTAGACTAAAATTAAAAGCATGTGGTATGAAAGAAATGAGTCAAAATTTGTTTGGTGGAGCTACGACACAGAAAAAAATGTACAGAATTTATAATTTAAATGTCAGAAGTTTAGATGACACATATGAATGTTATGTTAGAGCATACGAACAAAATATAATATGTGGTGATATACCCCATATTAAAAAGGGCAGTAATATTTTGTCTATATTAAATGATAAAGGTGTTGTTGTTACAGATTCTATAGATGATGTTTCTAAAATAGATTTACTAATTGGTTCTGATTTTCTAGGTACCCTGTTAACTGGACGATCAGTACGTGTAGATGACTATCTTTTTGCAACAGAAACTAAACTTGGTTGGACTGTACAAGGGCCCGCGGTTAGTGTGTATTGCTCTTCAGAATCTGTAAGTGTTCTGACTTGTTCATATACTATAGAGGACTTTTGGAATTTAGAAACGTTAGACATAAAAGATAATGCACAAGAGAAAAGTCTCATCAAACGCGAAGAAGAGATAGATAATTTTTTCAAGGATACTATACAAATTAATGAGGATTTTCTTCTAGCTTTAAGAAGGTTTTTAGCTAGAAGAGGTGCAGTTAAGTTAATTTATAGTGATAATGGGACAAACTTTAGAGGTGCTACCCATATTATAAATGAGATTAATTGGCAAGAGATTTCTTCTCAGACCCTTACTCAGAAAATCGAATGGCGTTTCATGCCACCTTCTGCACCGTGGTGGGGAGGGTTTTGGGAGAGAATGGTGAGGACTGTCAAAGACATTTTATGCAGAATACTTGGGAAAGCATCACAAAGTTATTGTGATCTCAATACAATCTTATGTGGGATAGAAAATATGATCAATTCGAGGACATTGACATATATAGCGGAAAGTTCAGGAAGTTTAATAACCTTGACACCCGCAACGTTCCTAAAAGTCGATGAAAATAACCTAAGTCAGTTGAATGGCAATATCTTAGCATCTCGGTGGCGATATATAAAAAAAATTAAGTGGCGATTTAAAACAGTATTTTCGAATGAATATTTATCACTCTGATTCAAAGGGGATGTAAAGATAAGAATTAGACATATAAAATTGGAGATGTTATTTTGGTCGGATATGATAATATTAAACGTTTATATTGGTCATTAGGAGTAATTTTAAATATATATCCGGATATTGATGGATGTCCAAAAGTTGCTAAATTAAAAACTCCTAAGAGCGAGTGTATAAGGCCTATACAGCGGTTGTATGCGTTAGAGGTTGAACCAGGCGAATTTGCAGAAATTAAGAGCAATACACACAGTGTCGATACTATAAGTAAAATTTCTGAGCAATTGCCTCGTGTCACACGCACTGGTCGTTTAGTCAAAATACCTAACCGTCTGGATTTGTGATGTTGTGAGACTTGTAATGTTATATGAAATGTAGTTTTTGTATGTTTGTCTGTCTTGCGATATCATCGCAAGGGGGGGAGTATGTTGAGGTTTTATTTAAATTATTTTTAAAGATAGAATTTATTATTTTTTCTTGTTATGTCAATTGAGTATTTTGTTTATTAGAGAAACGTCATTACCTTTTAAAACATCTATTTTTGTACTAGGGAACAATATTATATATCTTTATTCAGTCTCTTATATTTTTATTGTTTTATCCAACGAACCCTTCACAGTTTATGTAGAAAGTATGCGAGCAGGTTGTGCCTGAATTTGGTAGGGTTATATTGCCGTATAAGATTATCTATGTAAATTCTTGTTCTTAGACATTTATCATACAATACCATCCTGTAGGTATACCTTTTTTTTATACAACTTAGAATGACAAACAAGCTGAGGGCCCACCTGATGGAAAGTGGTAACCGTCGCCTATAGACATGAGCAGTACCATGGACATAACAGAGTATACTGTTTCGCCCATGATACCCCCCATGCGTTGCCATTCCTAAGGACTCAGATGTTATTCCTCTGTACCCAGTAAATTCACACCTATAGGTACAATGTTTTCTTGAAAAAGTAATATAGTTTTTATTGCTTTTTAAAGATAACAATATGACGTGGACACTAAAATACTGTTTAATTATACCGTTAATTTACTTTGTTTCACTTTTACTAAATCATCTAAACAGTTGTGTTTTATCAGCTTGATGAGATTCAGTATTATGATTTATTTGAACAACGATAAATATATTTATTTATACATTTCGGTACAGTCAGACCGAATTTTTCAGCTAATTTGACTAACATTATATACTAGTTTTGCACGAAATGTCGCTTGAACGGCGTATTTTTAATTTTTCCATAAAAATAAGAACTTTAACCAAGTAAATATATATATATATATATATATATATATATATATATATATATATATATATATATATATATATATATATATATATATATGTATACATGATTATGGTTTTTTTATTTATTTATTCATTAATAAATGTATGTATGTATGTATGTGTACAAAGCGAACTTAATTCTAAAGGTATTACCTACCTATATATCTACCAGTCAACCTTAGGGAAGTGTCAGAATACTCTAATATGGTACTAGTAATAATTGATATATAGACATACTAAAATTTATATATATAAATAATTAAATATATATAAATAACAAATATACTTATGTTTATTGTTTTATTGTTTATTAATCTAATTATTTGTTTGTCTCATAGACTTTCACCACAGTAAATATAAAAATTTTGAATTGCTAATAATGGGAATTAGTCTAATCCGTATTGCTTGCAATACATCCTGTCAGGTCGACCTCCACGCTGTCTCTCCTGGAAGCCATGGTTTTTAAATCATTCATCATAATAGGCTGATTGACCTGACTTCATAATCATCATACTATATTCCACTGATGCCCAGTCATTGTATAACATAAGCAAAAGTAGAAAAAGAATCATCAAAATCCATTCAGCAATATCTTTCAACCTAATTTTAGTTTCAAAAAGGAAAGATTTGATGTTTTTATTTGTAATGAATTAACTCAAGATAAGAGTATCTAATACAATTTTAAGAATTCTTTCATCTATTAAAACCTGTATTATTAACGAGTAATATTATTTATAAATTATTTTTTTTTTTGTAAATAAAATATAGTCCCAATATTTTATTTACAAAAAATAAATAAATTGTTAATCCCATTAATAATTGCGACTAGATATCCCTATGAAACTAGAACGGATTGCTAGTTATGTATACATACTATTACAATATGTAAAAATTATAATACATGTATATATGTATGTATGCAAACGTGCATATAAAAGATGCCCGTGTGGTCCCGGCATAGAATAAGCTATCCCTTCCTTTTCCGTGGACATCGTAAAAAGCGACTAAAGGATGAGAGATGGACAGCAGCGTCCCTTTACAACATCTCCAAAGCCTACTGCAGTTTCCAACCCGCCTGCCAAACATGGCAACTGTTAAAACCCCCCAAGAGGGAGGCTTATGTTCAGCAATGGACAGTTAAGAGCTGGTATGATGATGATGCAGGCAAAGTTCTTTGATGAAGACCGTAATAGTGAATTGAAATTGAAGTTATACATCCAATTGATATTTTTATGAATTTTGTCGCGAACTGTACACCAATTTTACAAGGGCATTGAGAACAGACACGTAAGATGCGAGTTAATTGATATTAAGTGAAACATCTGTGCAAAGTGGTTGTGTTTCATACAGGATTGCTTAGCAAAATGGAGATGAACAACCGTGTGAGTGCAATTTTTTTTAACTACCAACAACTACCTTCAGTCCGCGTGAATAATCGTAAAATATGTATAAACTCTGCGTAATTTTTTAGACTTTCGCAAATATAAACGTTTTTTTTTTTATATTACATATTGTTAGAATTATTTTGTATTGTATCAGCCATTAACTGCATACTATTAAACATAGCCTCTCCCAAAATGGGGGTTTTGCCAGTAGTCGCCACGCTTGGCAAGCGGGTTGGCAACCGCAGTTTGGCTTTTGATGATACTTTAAGAGGGATGATGTTGCCCATCCCTCGACTATAAGCTCTCTTAGTCACCTCTTACGACACCCACGGGAAAGGAAGGGATGGCCTATTCTATGCCGGAACCTAAACAGCGACAGGTTTTTTTATGCAACTTAGAATGGCAAACAAGCTGACGGCCCACTTGATACTGTTTCGCCCATGATACCCCCATGCGTTGCCATTCCTGAGGACTCAGGTGTTATTCCTCTTTACCCAGTAAATTCACGTCATATCCCACCGTTCAAACCGAAACACAGCCATGCAAACACAGCTGCTTCACGGTTGAAACACGAATGGGACAGAGGTACCCAAGCAATCGACTTTTGTCCAAAGTCTCCCTCTGATATATAAGGTTTTTCCTTGCATTATATATTTGATTTAGTACTTACATTTGTCACTTTGTTATATAACTTCTACTCGATAGAGATAGAGTTATTTATTTACTCGTCATAACGAAAAAAATGTTAGTGTTTACACGGCTGTGTTTCAGTTTGTAGGATAGGTAGCATATAGCAGTGAAATTACAGGCTACGGAGGCATAGTACTTTAATCCTCAGGATTGGAGAATCAATATATTATAGTATATTATCCCGTTACTTGCTTTTTTTATGCAACTTAAAATGACAAATAAGTTGACGACCTACCTGATCCTGATACCTGGGGGCCTACCATGAAATGAAATTCCGAATTTTCGCGCTCAATTTCGTGTTTTTGTTCGTACCTAAATCGACCCAGTAAATGGAGCTTAACGTTTCATTCATCATAAATCCTATCCTAATAGTCCAGAGGAACGATATTTTAATATTTTTAATAATTTTAAACAGCATGTATTATGTAATTTTAACATCAAATTTCTATTACGTTCGTCCCCGAAATTTCGGAAAATATTTCGTGGTAGGCCCTCTGATTACATTATAGTATTTTTCGTAGGGAAATTTAAGTTTTTAAAAATAATATGAAGGCTGTGTTACTCGCTAATAATGGAGCTTTCTATAGGTGAAAGAATTTTTTAAATTGGTCGATTTGTTTTTGAGTTTATCCACTACAAATAAACATGGACGAAACAGTATACTCTGTTATGTTCATGGTACTGCTTATGTCTATAGGCGACGGCTACCATCAGCTTATTTATAAATAAATATAAATATATACGGACAAATCACACAGATTGAGCTAGCCCCAAAGTTAGTTCGAGACTTGTGTTATGGGATACTATATTTATAATAGATACATATATAGATAAACATCCAAGACCCAGGCCAATCAGGAAAAGATCGTTTTCCATCATGACCTGGCCGGGGATCGAACCCGGGGCCTCCACGTCGCAGGCAGGCGTGTAGACTGCTGCGCCACGGAGGACGACATTTATCATTTTAAATTGCATATAAAAAAAAACATACAATCAAAACTTTTTATAATATTAGTTTTGTAACAATTTATTGTTGCAACCTTTTTTCGTATTCTTAATATGAATTATTTTAATAGATTTGGTTGAAATTTTAAATTGATATCTTATCGAAAGAATAGAATAAAACATATTCTGTTATGGGATCCATAATAAAAAAAAGGTCAAGGTCAATAACACTGTAGCTTTACATATACGATGAAAAGTATTGTATATGCTTTCACGTTTGTTTACATCGTCGCAGACATTGCTTAATTGAATTATCAAAATGTATACTTGTTTGTTGTTTGTATTATGCATTTTTAAGTGTATTTTTTTTCAGCAGTGCAAAATATTTACCGTATGTCATATTATGACATTTAAGATAAAGTGTAAATTATTATCTCTTATCTATTTATAATTGATTGTTAGTTACGTAAAAATTAACATAAACCGTTTCTTGTTATTCATTTATCAAATAAATAAAACTGCCATAATGCGGTCGATACTTGGGTGGCATTTTATTAAATTTGCCGCCAAAATTAAAATTTCTATTTGATATTACAGCGAAATCTTTATTATATGGACCTATATGAACTAATTTTCTAATAATTTAAGTAAAAATTATTATGATTTTGGTATATGATAGTACACGATGATGATGACTATTTCATTATCATCATGTCAGCTGACTGCTGCTGAGCATAGACCTCCCCATAGATTGCCATAAGGAACGGTCCTAAGCTACCTGCATCCACTAATCCTTGCAATGCGTTTGAGATCGTCACTCCAGTTAGTGAGGGCTTGTCGTACACTTCAATTTTTTTAAATGGATGATTATGAAATGGTAACCACACCTGCGCTATCGGTATACACTGGCGGGGCACCAGTGAGAGATGATAGGTGAGGGTGAAGCAGGTCAGTTAGCTCACCGTGACGAATCTAACAATAAATCAATCACGATGGTTTCCAGGTGGAACCACAAGGAATCGACCTGACAGGGTATATTGCTTGCAATGGGGCTACTAATCCCTATTACTAACAATTCCTTCTTCCCCCCGTACACTGCGTTTATCCATAAGGGGTCGCCACTCAAGACCTTTCTCAACAATAAAACAGTAATTTTACGAAATTCTCAAATTAAAATATTAGTTTAAATTGTTTCTTGTAAATATATATATTCATTAATTCAAATTTAGAGAAATGGCGCCCCATATTTGGCCCCAATGTCAACTGTCACTGGCACTATATTACAACGCATAGAGTACCTATAACAGCTGACATTCACGTTAAATATATTTCAATTGATACTCATAATTTATAACACACTCCAATAAAAACAATAATCAAAAGCGCCTCTTCGAATGTCTCTCTCATTTTATTTTCGTCGCTTTAGGTACGTATGTACCCACCATTGCGAAAATTACACTCAGTGCATCTTTTTAACTTATAAGAAATTAAAAAAATGCATTGAGTTCCATCGCCTGGCCACCAGTGAACATAGGCCTTTCCAATAAGTAGGATTTTGCCTGTAGTTGCCATGATTGGTGAGCGAGTTCTCAACCGCAGTTAGACTTTAGTGATGTTTTCAGAGGGACGCTGCTATCCATTTCTTGACCATTAAGTTCCCTTAGTTGCCTTTTTTTATGCAACTTATAATGACAAACAAGCTGACAGCCCACCTGATTGAAAGTGGTAACCGTCGCCTATAAACATGAGCAGTACCATTGACATAACAGAATATACTGTTTCGTCTATGATACCCCCGTGCGTTGCTATTTCTGAGAACTCAGATGTTATTCCTCTATACCCTGTAAATTCACTGCCATATCCCACCCTTCAAACCGAAACACAGCCATGCAAACAGAGGACCATGGACAGAGGTGCCCAAGCAAACGACTTTTGTACAAAGTCCGTCTTTTATGACACCCATGGGAAAGGAAGGGGTGGCCCATTCTATGCCAAAACTACCATTCATAGATGGAGCAAACCTTTTCTCTTCATCTTAATACTTAGGAATAAAATTTACATTAACATTTAGATTTTTTGATTACACACATTAAGTTTTTTTTTCATACAACTTAGAATGGCAAACAAGCTGATGGAAAGTGGTAAACGTCGCCTATAAACATAAGCAGTACCATTGACATAACAGAGTATACTGTTTCGCCCATGATACCTCCCATGCGTTGCCATTCCTTAGGACTCATTATACATTTTTTTTGTCTTTCTAATCTGATTTTGGAAATTTGGAAATATGTATTGCATTTATCAAAATAAGTTATTATTATCATGAAGTTAAACATCAATATAACGATGATTGGAACCATTCGTTGTCTATTTAACATAAAATAGGGTAATTTAAATTTACGTATAATTCACTAACTGATAGTAATTAAATGAATTGGGCCATGCCATGTTCACTATGATTAAATAACCGTACAGTTTAGGTAATTACTATATACTTATATGAATTAAAACGTCAGTTGAATGTAAAATAAAATATACTACACATTGAGAACTATGGCTAATTGGAATAATAACTATTCATTTAAGAAATTTAAATGAAACCCATCGGTTACTTTCTCGTGATGAAATTACAAATGTAACGTATTTATTAACTTTCGCATTGGCATGCGTTTAAAAAATTAAAAATTACTAACACTTGAGAAAATATCTAGTCATTTTTTTCTTTACAAATTCAATTCATTATAATATATGTATGTGTATATATCTGTATATATGATTGTATCTATATAATAGTGCGCCACCTATCCTTTGTCTTTTTCTCAATGTCCTCTACCCAAAGGTTGTCTGGAAGAGATTGCTTAGCGATAAGGCCGCCTTTTGTATCATTTCTCGTTAATATTTACTGTAATTGTTATTTCTCTTTTTACTTGGTGCAATAAAGTGTAAATAAATAAATTCAGTTCAATTTATTTATTATATTCTACAATATTATTTTGAATGATCTTAATAATTAATAAAGTATATAATTAATAAACTTACGAGTAGCAGGCAAACGAGCATGCGGCTCACCTGATGGCAAATGATTACTGCAACATCAGAGAAGGTGCAGCTATTTTGCTGGCCTTTAAGAAAAAAATATGATCCATACTTGAAGAATTCAATATCGTATTTATTAAGAAATACTGCTGCTGGGAATTCATCTTCTTTGGTACCTCAGTTCTACATGTACTTCTGCTGCGGCACCAATACTTGCACGGCTGTTCGATATAAAAAATGAGATATGACAGTTAAATGATCATGTACGGGGCACAACGTCTCAGGTTAGCAACATAGAAATGGTAACGTTTGAGGGAACCATAAGTTTCACAGTTTTTTTCGATACCATCATCAAGTATACCATCAGCTTGTAACCATTGCATGTTATATAAAGAAAGAAGGGTTTTGCCCGTAGCCGGCACACTTGGCAGGCGAGTTGGAAACCGCAGTTAGACTTTGGTGATGTTTTAAAAGGGACACTACTGTCCATCCCTCGAACTTAATGGTCGAGAAATGGCGGTTCTCCTAGTCGTTCCTTGCGACTCATACGAAAAAGGATGGGGTGGTTTATTTTTTACCAAGACCACACGGCAATCTTATATTATCTAAGAATAGTATCATTGTTCTCGTATCATTTTTTTTTATTATCAACAGAACTGTACACAAACTCAAGTGGAAACAGAAGGACAAAGCATAAAGCCTCCGCCACAACCACCGCCAGAAGGAAACATCCAGAAGAAGTTTGTTCATTACTCAGAGAAGGAACCGTACGATTTCGTAGCTGAACGATGCGTACCGAAGCCTACCAAGTGAATAAAATAATTCTATTATTTTTTAGTACGTAGCCTAATTGGACAATAAACAAAATTTAGGAAAGAACAATGTACAAAGAATTTACATAATGAAAAAATAAGTTATTGTTCTCAAGTCATCATCATCATCATCTCAGCCATTATCCGTCCACTGCTGGACATAAGCCTCCCCCATAGACTGCCATAAAGAACGGTTCTAAGACACTTGCATCCATTGAGTCCGTGCGATGCATTTGACTTTCTGTATTCATTTCATATATTTATTTGATTATAGAATTTTTTAAATGAATTACAAATGAAATAAATTATATTTAACTTACTTCAAAAAAGGAGAAGGTTCTATGTTCCACTGTATACTTTTTTTTTTGTATCTCCAACGATTTTCTCAACAACTGTGGACCGATTTTAACAATTATTTTTTTTTATTCGAAAAAGTATACTCTTGAGGTACTTCCATCATTATATGATAAGATCCTAGAGAAGTCGAGGGCAACCCTCAAATTTTATAGGCACATTTATGATATTTCATATATTTTACTTTCAGTGTTCTAGAATCCATTGGCCATCTCATAAAAGGTTGCCTTGGAGGTGGGATCCTGGGCATACACGAGGCGTACATGAAGGGCGGTTTGTGGACCTCTTTAATATTGACTATCGTCTTTGGATTCTACATCACATATTGTGTGTATGTAAGTATATGATGTGGTTCCCCTTTTTTACTACTAGTACTATTATTTTACTACTTATTACTCTATTACTCGGGTCAGGTCATCGTCATTATAATAAACATTTTATTTCACTAGCAGAGCCCTGAATGTTTCTAATTTTTAGTAATCAATTGGAAACATTCAAAAATATTCAATTGTTTTTCGTCACCCAAATTCCAAAACGTATAGGTTCACTAACACACTAACACTAGGTTTCGAGTGTTATCTATTAGTTTGCCTGAAGATGCCGCGTTTAGAGAAGAAACACGTGTCTTAAAAAATGGACAGAATAGCAATCGGAGATTGATTACTACTCGTAATATGGAAGGCTCTAGAACTTCTGCTAATAATAATAACAGTGAATCTTCGAGTGTTGGCAGTCACACACATACTAATGGTATTGGAATTTACAAAAATAATTCTATTAAAGTAATCAGTGATATGGAACACCTATATCAATAATATATCTAAAGTTACAAACGCTCTTAGTGTCCTACTAGCGAGCACAGATTTCTCTATGTAACCTGAGGATATCAACCAACTGTTAGCACTCTAGTCATTTCAGTTGGTGTTTAATTTCAGAAATCTTTTCTTCGATTAAAAAAACAAATCTGAACAAATTTGTCATATTAATTTACTTAATACAACGTCTTAAAAGAAAAAATAAACAGTACTTGTTCCCATACGGTTTATATTATTACTAACTCTCTATAAAGCAATCTATGATATCCTTTTCTATGGTGAAAACTGTGTTTATTGATTTATTTACTCTTTACTGCTCCACTTAACTTGCATAATACACAAATGCAGTACAAAAGGCGGTCTTATTGCTAAAGCAATCTTTTCCAGATAACCTATGAGTAGAGGAAAAAAGAAAAAGGCGGTAGCTATTTGACGCAATAAATATATAAAACTATTGAAACTAAAATTACTCGTGTAAAAAAAAAAGATATATGCAAAATTATTCATACAAATGAATACCATACATACATTATGCCAAATCTCATGAAGATTACTTAAGCCGTTAAAAGTACCAAAGTGCAGCAAACTCTCTTACACGTTTATAATATTAATAAGGATGTAAAAATTTCCAGATTCTAGTAAAGTCAGCACAAGTGCTATACAAAAGGCTACACTTAACAGAGATGTCGTATCCAGACGTCGCTGAAGCCTCGTTGGAAATTGGACCATTCCCTAGTTTAAAGAAATACAGCAAATTGTTTAGGTAAGGTATTGTAAAAAAAAAAAATATTAATGTTTTATATTATTGGTAATATGAATTACGTGGACCTATGTATTGTATAAATGGTAGCTAATAGAAAGTGATTACAGTCTCTGGATATAAATATGATTATTTAATAGCATTCATATTAGAGAATATATTCTAATAATAGTACGTATTATTATTTTTTTTTATTTATTTATTTATTTATTCATTCTGATTCGATACATACAGCACGATTCAAGTATACACATAGATCTCACACAACGTGATGGCTTAACAACTAGAACATATTAAATCTTAAGATCAGACCAGAAAAATAAAGAAAGTACACTAGTTATTCTGTGAAACAAATAAATGACAATCGCCACCCACCAATGTTAGTTTTTTACATCAAAATAGACAGTACAAAAATGAAATGAAATGTATCTACTTTGTAACATCAACGCCAAGTAACGTGAGGGTAGTTTAGGCAACGAAAATGTTTTATGATTATGAACATATTTTATGTTTATCGTACCTACTCATAAAGATTCTATTTTATATAATGCAAAGGTAATAATAATATTTTTTTATTATACGTATGTACGTACATATATTATGTAGGTACACTAATGCCTATTATTTAACCAAAGTATTAGAGACATCATTTTGTTTATTTCTCCGATCCTTTCCCATAGTTTAAATGAAACTTAAATTTAAATTCTTCGACACTAACTAATTTCAAGTTTATATGAATTTAGATTTATACAAAGTGCTGAGGATTTTCTTCTACCCGCCGTATTAGTAGAAATACTGTATCACGGTCAAGTATGAATCCATGTTTGTGACAAGAAATGTAAACAACCAAAGACAATTTCATCCGTAAAAGTTCAAAAGTGAGTTAATGCTTGATTGCAATAAGGTACAATATTGTATACACTGTAAACAAAGCGAGCTGCATTTTTAGAACATAGTAAATGCGCAACTTTAAGATAATTCATTGTTAGAATTGTGTACATAACTTTATACGGATATGTATATATAATCAAATGCGCATGTATACATAATCGTCACAGTATCCTTTTTATGAATTTGGACTATTTAATTGTTTTTAAGTATACATTATTTTATTTATGACTAATAACTTAACAAAACTATAATATATAACTATAACCAAATAACCAAAACAAAACTATAAGAGACAAACAATTAATAAAGATTAAATATAGACATGCATGATTGTGTTCAAGATTTATATGTACATATTATGTAAAAAATGCGTGTGTGCGCACGCACGTGCATGCGTGTTATGTATGTATGTGTGTGTGTGTGTGTGTGTGTGTGTGTGTGTGTGTGTGTGTGTGTGTGTGTGTGTGTGTGTGTGTGTGTGTGTGTGTGTGTGTGCGTGTATGTGTGTGAATGTGTGTGTGTGTATGTGTGTATGTATGTTTATTCATACTCTCATTAGATTTTCGGTAGCATTATTATCCGTTTCCAATAAATAATTATCAACTATTTTTTTACACAAATACGTAGAATACTTATATATTTCAACACATGCTGATACTCTGTTGTATACATATGGCCCCAAAAAACTTATGAAATTTTGAGCAAATCTAGTCTTAAAACCAGGAACATAGTATATTTTATCTTTTCTTCTCTTTAATGTTTTTACGTCAGTTGGTAATCTGTGTTGGAACACAATTAAATATTTTATGTACAATTTACGAACTGATAATATTTTTAGTTCTTCGTATAATTTATGTGTAGGATACATTATTGGCTTAAAAGTCATAGTCTTTAAAACAGCCCTATGAGCCCTCTCTAATGAAGTTATAAGGTATTTAAAACAGCCTCCCCATATACGAATACAGTATAAGATGATAGATTGGCACAATGAATTATATATAACTTTTAATAAGTTTAAGTCACAGACATTTCTAATGTTTTTGAAAATGTATATTTGCTTACGTACTCGTTTTGTCAATAAATAAATATGTTCCTTCCATGACAAATTTTGGTCAAGAATTAAACCAAGATATCGTATGGAATTTGCCTTATTAAGACGATAACAATTACATATATTAACGGTATCTCTACAATGGTGTACCTTAATAACTATGGAGTCATTAAGAGGTTGAGTGTTATTTTTTATACTAAATGTCATAAATTTGGTTTTTTCTTTGTTTAATGTTAGTAGGTTGTTATTTAACCACTTTATTATTATGTTAAAAATTTTATCAGCGTCTCTGCCTACTTTTATCCAATTTTCACCAGATATCATAACAGCAGTATCGTCTGCGAATGTAGTGATTTCAACATTCGGTGAAGTTAATCGACACAGGTCGTCAATGTATACAAGAAATAATGTAGGTCCTAAGACACTGCCCTGTGGTATGCCATAGGTGTTCTGTTCTTCTTTACTAATGTAATTATCTATTTTAACCGCTTGCTTTCTATCTTGTAAATAATTTTTAAAAAGTTGTAAAGGGATACCTCTTATACCTTTATTTTCAAGTTTTTGGAGAAGTATTGGTATCGAAACCGTATCAAATGCTTTCTTGATGTCTAGAAATATGCCTAAGCATTTTTTATTAGCGTCTAGGTTTGACGACACATATGTTGTAACACGCTGTACTGCATCAACTGTGGATCTCTCTGATCGAAATCCATATTGATTAGAAGAAAGTAAATTTTGTTTTTCTAAATAGTTTATAAGTCTGTTATTAATTATTTTTTCTATAATTTTAGACAAGCTTGGCAGTAATGAGATTGGACGAAAGTTAGAAATACAATCACTGTCTCCTGATTTATATATAGGAATAATAATCGACTTTTTTAATGCATTAGGGAAAACGCCGCTGGAAAAACATAAATTACAAATTATTGTAATAGGAGTTGTAAGTATCGAACAAGCACCTTTTAGAAAAGATGTGGGAATACCATCCCATCCCGTTGAAGAGTTGTTAATCGTCCTAATGTAATATTTTTTACTTCCGTCTCATCTGTTGGTAATAACATAAATGAATTACCAGCCGTGGGTGTGGTATTTTTTAATTTGGAAGCTAATTCATTCTCATTGCAGTTGGTTTCGTCAAGTACATTCTTAGCTAAATTAGCTCCAATATTCGCAAAATATGTATTAATAAAGTTTAACGAAATTTGGGGACTAGATTTTAGATTGATCAATTCAGATGAGTTATTTTTAATTTTATCCAGATAGCAGAGATTTTTAATTATGTGCCATTGCTTTTTGAGGTTATTATTATATTTATATAATTGTTGTCTATAATATAGTTGTTTTTGTTTTTTTAAGAGGTTATTGCATGTATTTCGATATCTACTATAAGTTATTTTGAGAATCATATTATCAGGGTCTTTTTTTAATTTTTGTTGTAAATTATTACGATTTCGTATGCATCGTATCAACCCTGGAGTTATCCAGGGTTTAATAATTCTTTTCTTCCTAGATATTTTGTAAACTGTAGTGTGCTTCTCGAAAGCCTTATTTATTTCTGAAATAAAAATATTTGTAGCCATATTTACATCGTCAGTCAAAATTTGTTGCCAATCAATGAATTGCAACTCTTTAATTGCTTCTTCATAGTTTACTTTAGTAATTGTAGGTATTTTATTCTTTCTTGAAATTTGTGTTTTTTGTAATGTTGTTAATATACTACAATGGTCAGTTATTGAGGTATTACAAACCATTGTGGTTACTGAGTTTATCGTTTTCACAAAACAGTGATCTAAGCAATTTTTATCACGAGTAGGTAGCACGTGTGATGGAAGCAAACCATGAGATGCAAGTAGGTCCAAATAATCAGCTGTTTTAGTGCTGTTATTTTCGGGTTTTATATCAATATTTATATCGCCTAAGAGTAATATATTTGCATGTTGTTTTAATTTTGTGAGGACTTTATCCAGTGACTTCAAGAAATTTTCAGTATTTTGATAGGATGGAGGTCTATATACACAAATAATAGCAAAATTATTTTGGAGTGTGAGTATTAGACAGTTTGCATCTACTATATCTGTAGATTCGCTTACTTTAACAATTAAGTCGTCTTTAACGAAAGCAACTACACCATCATTCTGATTTAAATGGTTTTGTGTAAAATATGAGCTATAGGTCGGAATTTTTGGTATAATAGAATCTTTGTTCAACCAACACTCAGTTAGAATAATTATATCTTGTTGAAAGTTAATACGATCTAGTAAAACAGTAAGATTATCAAAATTTTTATTGATGCTACGTATATTTTGTGTAAAAATATTAAGAGCGTTTTCAGAAATGGGCAAAGACGTACCATAGAGCTTCTCTTCATCAACAATCATTGCACTTCCGACATTGACACTGGAGTCAATGTCATCTAATACCTCTAGTGTATTATTCATTATATTTAAAGTCAATAATGCAGTATTTAATGAACATAAGGAAGTACAATATTGAATCTTCAGATAAGCATTGGATGAGAGCTTTACTTGTGTGTGGTATATAAATGTAAATAAAATGTGGATATAATATGTACGTATGTAAATGTAATGTAAGTGAACTAGTTTGTGTATGAGTATATGTTAAAATGTAAGCAACAACACATGCAGTATCCATAAAAAATAATCTGAAATTAACAAAGTAAAGTATAAAATAAAAATAAATGTAACAGTATATAGTATTATGATTAAGAATATCAGAGCATAGTCAATTTTGTAAGCCTGGTAAATCCATTTTTAATGCCTCAATTTGGGTTAACATTTTGACATGTATGGTAGGAGTATTATCAGATTTTTTGATAAATACCTTACCATGTTTTATCCAGCAAAAATTATGCTACAAATCATCTATTTTCTAAGCCTACACTGTGTAACATTTTTACCGTGTTGTCCCGGCATAGTATGAGCCATCTCTTATTTTCCTGTGGGTGTCGTAAGAGGCGACTAAAAGAATATTTTTTTTTTTTATTTTTATTTATTCATTAGTACAAATATGTCTACATGGCGGACTTAATGCTAAAAGCATTCTCTCCCAGTCAACCATAGGGAAGTGTCAGAATACTCGAATGCGGTACTAGTAATTATTGATATACATACATACTAAAATTACATATATAAACGAATAAATATATATGAATAACAAATATACTTACACATATATGACATATATAATACACGAATTTAGGAATAATATAAAGCACTTACAGCTCGGATAAAGATAAAAAGTGAGCGTGAACGCTTTTTTTGAAAGACGATTTCGTCGGTAGTCTCTTAATGGCATCAGAAAGCGCGTTCCAGAGTCGTGAAGAATGTAGGAGAAATGAGTTTGAAGCGTAACAAGTACGGTGAGAGGGGAAAGATAGTTGGAGAGTATTATATAGTATTATATAATATTATAGTCGGAGGATAAGCAGCAGCATTCCTTTTAAAACGTAAAGCCTAACTGCGCTTGCTGACCTGCCTGCCAAACGTGCAACTACTGGCAAAACCTCCCTAGAGGAGGCCTATATTCAGCAGTGGATAATTAACAGCTGATACTGTGATGATGATACTGCCTCACATTACTGGGCAAAGTCTCTTACGTCTCCAAATGTCTCTATTTAAAGCTTGGTCGGACCATGTTTTTCTTTTTTTTTTTTTATACAACTTAGAATGGCAAACAAGCTGACGGCCCACCTGATGGAAAGTGGTAACCGTCGCCTATAGACATGAGCAGTACCATGGACGTAACAGAGTATACTGTTTCGCCCATGATACCCCCCATGCGTTGTCATTCCTGAGGAATCAGATGTTATTCCTCTATACCCTGTAAATTCACTGCCCACCCTTCAAACCGAAACACAGCCATGCAAACACAACTGCTTCACGGTTGAAACACGAATGGGACAGAGGTATTCAAGCAATCGACTTTTATACAAAGTCTCCCTCTGGTGAAATCTTCCATCTTAAATCAATCGGTCATCAAAAATCTTCAGACTTCTACAACGCCAGTATAAATTGGTCAGTAAAGAAAGTTAAAAGTGTTTTTAAAACTGACTGACAAATTGAACTTGTAACATACTGTGTAATCTTTGAATCAAGAATTGTAAGCTACATTCCATTCTTGACTATGTTGCTATGACGATGGTGATGATGATGACTACTTTTTAATTTAAAATAATGAAATTTCTAAATAGTATAAAATAAAATCTAAATCTGTTTGGTTTCCCGTTACCTTTTCTAAACTACACAACAAATTTCGATATATAAATTTGAATACATTTAAATTTACAAATATATAAATAAATATAATAGAAAAATATTTAAATGATATTGTAAATCAAAATTCATTATATAGTTTATTATTTAATAATTTAGTAGTAATAAATTGCAATGAATTTTATGTTCTCTTCAGATATGCTGTTGATTTAATAATATGCATTGACCTATTCGGAGCCTGTTGCGTCTACCAAATCATTATAGCGAAAACCATCAAGCAGGTCATAGAAGATGCATATGGAATGACTCCTGGAGATTTGGATCAGTTAAGACTTTATATTTTAGCACTACTGGTTCCAGTCTTACTATTATGCATGATCACAACGTTGAAGTATTTGGCACCATTTACTTTGATAGCTGATGTATTTATTGGTAAATATTTCTTTTTAAATAATTTAGAAAAGGTAAAGCAAGATATTGAGTTATCTTATGTTACGGATAATTTTATAAAAGGTTTTAAAGAAAATATAGAAGAAGATAAATTAAAAGAGGATAAAATAATTAAATGAGTTTAATTTAAAAAATGGCTAAAGGGTAATATAGTGCAGTCTAGGATATATTCTAAGATTTTCAGATCTAATAAGTCAGTTTCCTATAACTGAGGCAACTTTAAAACAGGAAAGAAGATTTTTTAACAAGCAGATAGTCCAATTTATGAAAAGTGATAACCGTCGCCTAATGTAAAAAGAATTTTGTAAAATTAATTCAGATTCTATTTTCTAAAGTTTTATCCCAAAAAGAGCAGTATCCGTCAAGTTAAAAACTAATAGCATAATATATTTTTTATGGTGCAAATAATAAAATAAATGAATAATTTCCAGTGGCTTGCGTAGTTGCAACTGTAATATACTCTATGGAGGTTGCACCGCCCCTATCTGAAGTACCGTCTTGGAAGGATGGTTTCGGATTCTTCGAGTTTTGTGGTATAGCGATATTCAGTATGGAAGGTATAGGTGTTTCGCTCCCAATTGAAAACAACATGAAAGACCCCATGAAATTTCCACTTGTGCTTTGTATTGGTGAGTACGCCTTTTTAAAATGACAATTTCATCTAAAACACATTTTAACAGAGTGATACGAATAGTCATCAGCAAAAATTTTGCAGCCAAGCATTTTGCTTGTTGTCAGGCTTTTAATATTATGACAACGTAATTATTAGTTGTTTATAATCAAACAAATGTTAAACTTGAAGGAATTGTATAAAAAAAAGCTGCAATGGAAATTGCATCTACAACTTAGATACTACTAATATTTGTAAATAAAAAGTTAGGGTTTAAATCCTAGTATTTTTTATTGTATTTCAAAAAGAAGAAGTTTCTGAATTACTCTGTATCATTTTCTTATATGTTACATCACACTATATATCCAGATAATATTTTTTACATTATTATTTTCGCAACTTATGTTCATTTTTTTAACATTATCCGTATATTATAATATTGATAGTAATATTATGAACTTAGTATGTTTGTCGTTTCCGAGAAAACTTCTGAATGAAGTCGAAGCAATTGCCATTATATACATGTATATACACGTATATAATATATATAGACATTTACATTTTCTGCATCGAGTAACTGTGTTAAGCTATCGTTTATGACTATTTGCTTAAGAACTTCGATTATCTATCCTCCGGAAAATATTTGAGAGTAGGTATTGATAAGAGCGTTAGTTATAATATTATCACTATTTTTCATTTCAGGTATGACTATCGTAGTATCTTTTCTAATACTTGTAGGATTCTTTGGATATTGGGGTTTTGGAGAGAGCAGCATATCTCCTGTTACGTTGAATTTTCCCACAGAAACGTAAGTTACTTATAGGATTTACAATCAACTATTCCATAGTTGTCTACAATAGTACATAGTTGTGTGAGTATGGTAGTATAAAATGGGTGTGTGACAAAAAGAATAAAAATGAGAAAAATATAATCAAAATACAAAGCAATAAGCAGAATTTTAAGAAACATGTGGATACCAGCTTTGTAAATCAATATTGTAAAAGTGAGTTCATAATGTCGATGTACAAATAATATATACATAAACAAACAAATATGTGCTGAAGTTGATGACGTGGGTACGATCCTCACAAAATACAGACTTGTGACTATGTCTGTTTGTATTGATCTGGGTATTCTAGGGATTTTTGATTGGCAATTTTTAAATAATTTTGAGTGACGTAAAAAGTACTAAATATTTTTTAACAATAAATACTACAGTTCAGACATAATCTTACTCCGATATGAACAATAAATTTTACTAGTCGCTTTTCACGACATCTTAGAAATTAAGAATTATAGTCTGATTTATTCAAACTTCATGAAATAGGAACCAAGTTTTGTTGAAATTATCAAAAAATATCGAAAAATACTCTCTATTAATTAATCTATTTTTTATTTAAACTAACCACTTGCTTTTACCTGCGAGATCATCTTCATAACCGTTCACTGACAAGATTAAAAAGTAACCTATGCCCTTTTAATTTCAAAATGATTGATTAACCCGCTAAAACGCTAAGATCAAACAAAGAAACCCAATCAATTTTTCATTCTCATTTTCATTAAATTCTATTGAAACAAACTTGTACACACAGTAATACTTCTCCACTCAATTATTAATTGGAGAAGTTTATACTCACCTGATGTAATATTATTTCTTTTCTCCAGATTTCCTACTGTCTTGAAATGCCTAATGGCTGTAATGATCTTCGTGACATTCGCTCTCAATTTCTGGGCTCCATTCAACTTGGTTTGGCACTATATGTCCAAAAAACATAATCCTGCAAAATACTGGATATGGGAGAGGGTCTACCGAGCCACGTTCATCATTGTCATCACCAGTATCGCCATTGCATTCCCCAATATTGGCAATTTAATGGGACTGGTATGTATAATTAAATCCCTTAGTTTAATAATACTTGTCACGTTTAAAATGTATTTTTTTATACCACGAAGATGGCAAATAAATATACAGCCCGTCTAACTGTAAAAGGTCACTGTAGCCTGTAGATACCTGCAACACTAAGAGTGTCATGTGCACCGACCCTAAAGAGACCTTAATACACCCTTTTTGAGGAACCAGATACGGTAGTCTTTAACCAGATAAGGTTCAGCCCAGAAACTCTCGGTAGGGTGCTCATTCCGCAGCCTAAGCGTTTGCGGTAGGAAACTCCTTTGAAATCACATTGTACCCGACTATTTAGGTTCTAGCGTGTGAGAATAAATTCCTTATCGATGGTGAGCGATGCGATGATAAAAAGTGAAGGTGGGTATTTATTTCGAACTGTTGAAATCCGCAATCCCCTAAAGAAACTTGCCGAACTTACAGACGTTGAGTTGTCCAATTTACGCTTTCTTTTCCTAAATATCCTCAATACCGTCATTACGAATATTATGAACAAGTACAGTTTACTCTGCAATTAAATAATTAAATTTTGTGTACCACAAAAAACAGACTTCAGTTGTGACAAATCCAGTTATTTTGGTCTAAAAACTAAACCAAAGAACCAATTTTGATAAAATTTCTATGAGACCAATCTGTAAGTATATTCTTTTAGTTAAAAAAAATCCATGTCCGTTCAGAACTGACCATGTTATGAGGTAACAAACATACAAAAAAATTAAACCGATTTGAAAACCTTCTTTTTTTAAAGTTGATTTTGATTAATCGAAAAAGATTGTCCTGTCAAAATACGAATCGTTTTTAACAAAAATATAACCAGTATCAATTAGCATAATGCAATGATTGTAACGATATCCAAAAATCCAAATCTGTTCAAGAATTTAGGAGTTATGGTTGAATAAAGAAACTCACATACATGAACCCTAAAAATATGATCTTTCTTTATCAGGAATTGTGTAAAAATACGAGTAAAAATATATATGTTAGTCAAATGAAAAATTTTATCATGTTAATTTTAATTTGAGGTTAATTGCATGAATGAATTTTACGTACATTAATATCCACTTAAAATCATACTTTCATACGGTTTTTTTTTGTTTATTAATTAGATCGCCTATTATACTAATTACATTTTGATATTTTGTTTACAAAGGAAAAATTGCATGATACAAAAGTTACTTTAACTTCTTTTTTAATATTTTTTATACAACTGAGAATCCCTCAATTTGTAGCAAAAAAGTTAAGTGTAAATTATTTGTTAGATTTCTAATACATTTTAATATGTTCAGAGGAAGACTCTGTACAAAAGTCATTTGGTTGGGCACCTCTGTCCCATTCGTGTTTTTACCGTGAAGCAGTTGTGTTTGCATGGCTGTGTTTCGGTTGGAAGGGTGGGATATGGCAGTGAATTTACAGGGTACAGAGGAATAACACCTGAGTTTCCAGGAATGGCAACGCATGGGGGGTATCATGGGCGAAACAGTATACTCTGTTATGTCCATGGTACTGCTCATGTGTATAGGCGACGGTTACCACTTTCCATCAGGTGGTCTGTTAGCTTGTTTGCCATTCTAAGTTGTATAAAAAAATATAATTAGCCATACCAGTAGATACAAGTACTTTCAGATCAGTCTCAAAAAAATTCGTCAAAATATGTTTTTTAACCAAAATAACTGGTTTTGATGGGATTATTTTTTTTTTCTTCTGTAGCAACCTCTACTTGTTTCTCATAAACTATTTTTAGTCTTTCTCCTTTTTAATTTTCAATGATATATTTTTTACAGCTGGGTGCGTTCTGTCTATCCAATATGGGCTTCATATTTCCCGCCATCATCGAAGTCCTCGTTATATGGGAAAGTCCAGGATTGGGAAGGTTCAAATGGCGACTGTACAAGAATATTTTAGTCATGATAATAGGCGTTTTATTATTTATAGCTGGTACTTATTCTAATCTTAAAGGATTAGTGAGCAATATATAATAAATTAAAAAAAAAAGTTTTACCGTTTTTGTTATTAACACTTCCCTAAGATTGATTAAAATTTATTTAAAAAATTTTTACCTCTAGTTTTTTTCATAAAGTTTTTTTTTACAACACAGGAGGCAGACGAGCATGCGGCTCACCTGATGGTAAGTGACTACCGCCGCCCATAAGCACCCACAACACCAGCGGCATTGCAGGTGTGCTGCCGGCCTTTTAAAAAGGAATATACTCTTTTCTTGAAGGTTAGGTTGTCGTATCGGTTCGGAAATACTGCTGCTGAAAGTTGATTCCAAAGAATGGTTGTGCGTGGAAGAAAGTGCCTTGAAATAACCCATGCGAAGTAGTGGCAAGTACTCAGACCAGGCCAGTATTCAGATATCTAATGAGATCTAAATTGATCATTATCATCATACTGAAAATAGGCCTCCCCAAAAAGGGGGTTAAATTGATCACTCATGATAATTTTTCATCATAGAGAAGGAAGGGATTGTTAGTAATAAATGGTAATCCATTACTAAAAATATACCCTGTCAAATCGACTTCCTCGCGGTCCCCTCTAGAAACCCATCGTGGTTTTTTTAATGGGTGATAATGGAATGGTACCCCGCCTGCGCTATCAGTATACTCGTATACTAGCGGGTCACCAGTGATAAATGACGATGAAAGCAGGTCAGTTTTTTTTTATACAACTTAGAATGGCAAACAAGCATACGGCCCCACCTGTTGGTAAGCAGTTACCGTAGCTTATAAACGCCTGCAATACCAGGAGCATAAAGTACGCATTGCCGATCCTGAAGAAACCTCTTTACCTCTCATTAAATTAATAATTAAGAATTTATAACGCAAAATCCAATTTTTGGGTAAATAAATAAAATATTTTGCTAATATAAAACTATATTAATATAGAAATTTCATTTTGCTATGCTACTTTGTCACGCTATTTGAGTGTTATCGGTATTTATTTATAAATGCCACTAGCTTTTTCCCACTACTTCGAACGCGTGGATTTCGTATGTAGGAAAATCAATAAAATACACACTATAGTTCACATGACGTAACACGAAAACATTTTAAAAAATTGTTTAAAGTTTAAAAATTTATTGAGTGGAAATGTCATTCAAATTTCACAAAAAAAAATTTAAAAATAAAAACTTCATTCTTCTCGGAATAATTTTTGCGTGATGCCAGAACAAACATGCAGACAAACGAAAGTTATAAAAATTCTTGTTTTAACATCTATTGCTCTTCGTATACATATTTCTTTAACATTGCCCATACGCTGATATCGTCTAGTCATAATTTATTATATTAATAATATTGCCGTGTGGTCCCAGCATAGAATAGACCATGCTTTTCTTTCCCGTGGGTGTTATAAGAGGCGACTAAGGGAGGGCGAGAGATAGGCAGCAGCGTCCGTCTTAAAACATCACCAAAATCTAACTGCGGTTGCTATTCCGCCTACCAAGTGTAGCATTTGTTTTATACCACGAAGATGGAAAACAAGTATACAGCCCGTCTGATGGTAAACGGTTACTGTAGCCTATGGACGCCTGCAACACTAAGGACGTGCGCGTTGCCAATCTTTCGAATCGAAGAAACCTTTATGTATCCTCTTTGAAAATACTGTAGTCTGTACTAGCAAACCCCAAGGAAGAGACTTATGATAACACCCAAAACACCCAGGAAAGGAAGGGATGGCCCATTCTATGCTGAAACTTTTAAACAGTTAAAGAGAAAGATTCAAACAATTAATTTTTATTAAAAAGCCAATTTTATTATCAAAATATAAAAAAAAATCTAGATATTCACAGTAAGTAACTATTATGAAATATTTAATTTACATTCAAAACCATTTTCTTAGGACATAAAATAAAAAAAATATATATCAAAAACAGATTTATTTTATTCATTATTTTTATTTGAGAGAATTGCAAACAAGTTTACGGACCACTTGAAATTGATAACCATCGCCCCTTAGAAATGAACAGCACTGTAAATGTTACAGAAGATACTGTAAAACTAACAGCCTAACCCACACTTCTTTTAATTTTCCAATAGGATGTACTAGAGTACATAAAATCTTAAAAGATTTTATTCATACAATTGACACTCCTATAAAAATTATGTAGATTTCCCATGAAAATTCCCAATGAGAAGGAAGTGTACGCTGACAAAGCCGCGATATATAACTAGTATTGAAATACACGTTCATACATTTCATATACGTTCTCCTAGTTATACAAATACCAACATCAGCTCACTCATATTGACGATGGAACCACATATTAAAATAAAAATACCGATGAATATTAAAATCAGCGCTCTCCATAATCTCCATTTATATTTGCCTAATCCAGGCCTGTCCCAAATTACGAGTAAATTGATTAAATTTGGCCAAATGAATGCCATGTTCGATAAACAGAAGGCGCCGAGCTGTAAAAATTATGTTACATTTTACTAATATAATAAATCTTGGCGTCCCCGCAGGCAAACGCAGTGTAGGACGACCCTCCACTAGAAAGGGGAAGGGATTATTAATAATGCAGATTACGTAGGTACAGTTAGCTACAGGTAGTCCCCCTAGAAATAATCGTTCTGAATTCCAGGTGCATTCACACACACATTGTACAAAGTAAACTAACTGACAAGCAACAGCCCTTCTGATGGAAAACGGTCACTATAGCCTATGCTGATGCCTGCAACACTATGGGTGTCACATGCGCATTTCTGATCCTGGTCGCTAGTAATAATGAGGCTAGCAAATCCCCACCTGGTACTAATAATCCACATTATGGCGACTACAAAGTTTTTTTTTTATTCTTTTTCGCCGATTTTGATTATTACTTTTGAAATCCTTTTTTTATACAACTTAGAATGGCAACCAAGCTGACGACCCACCTGATGAAAAGTGGTAACCGTCGCCTATAGACATAAGCAGTACCATGAACATAACAGAGTATACTGTTTCGCCCATGATACCACCCCATGCGTTGCCATTCCTAAGGACTCAGGTGTTATTCCTCTACACCCTGTAAATTCACGCCATATCCCACCCTTCAAACCTAAACACAGCCATGCAAACATAACTGCTTTACGGTTGAAACACGAATGGGACAGAGGTACAAGCAAACGACTTTTGTACAAAGTCTCCCTCCCTCTATCATATCATCATATCAGCCTTTAATTGTCCACTATTGGACATAAGCCTCCCTCATGGGGAATTTTGCCAGTAGTCGCCATGCTTGCCAGGCGGATAAACAACCGTAGTTATGCTTTAGAGATGTTTTAAGAGAGACTGCCGCTATCCATCCCTCGCCCTCCCTTAATCGCCTCTTACGACACCCACGAGAATAAGAAGGGTGGCTTATTCTATGCTGGGATCACACAGCCAAGATTTACACATAAAAAACATAATTTACTTACGAATCCCATCAGCGCATTAATATTTGGGAATATTATAGCGACAACTGAAATCAAAATCACGAATAAAATCCTATAAAACAATTCCCATTGAATTATCTTAAGCTGGTTGTGCTTTGGTTTGATGTAGTGAAAACATAGGTTGAAGGGTACCCAAAAATTGATAGCATGGGTCACGTATATCATCAATGCTATAGCACCTTTAAGAATCATAGGCCAACTGTAACAAAAAAAAATAGATTTATCTATGTATTTGTTGCAGTTTGTAGGAACAATCTCTGGAAATATTAAATCTCCGAAATTCCCAAATTTCTTTAATTTGTAATATCATTATTCCAGCCGTTAATTGTCCATTGCTGAACGTAAATCTTTCCCATAAAGAGAGTTTTGCCTGGAATTGCCACGCTTGGCACGCGGGTTGAAAACCAGTTAAGCTTTGGTGATAATTCAAGATGGACGCTGCTGCATATCCCTCGACCATTAAGTTCTTTTTTTTTATGCAACTTAGAATGGCAAACAAGCTGACGGCCCACCTAATGGAAAGTGACGACAGTCGCTTATAGACATGAGCAGTACCATGAACATAACAGAATACACTGTTTCGCCCATGACCCCCCCCCCCCTCATGCGTTGCCATTCCTGAGGACTCAGGTGTTATTTCTCTGTACCCTGTAAATTCACTGCTATATTCAAACCGAAACACAGCCATGCAAACACAACTGTTTCAATGTAGAACCATGAATTAAACAGAGATGCTCAAGCAATCAACTATTGTACAAAGTCGCTCTCTGGTAAAATCTCTACTGCTGAACATAACTCTTCCTTATAAGGGGAGTTTTGCCCGTAGTTGGCATGCTTAGCTTACAAGTTGGCTACTGCAATTAGGCTTTTAGTGATGTTTTAAGAGAGACGCTGGTAAACATTTCTCTTTCATTAAGTTCCCTTAGTCATTTCTTATAATACCCACGGAAATACAAGAGGTGATCTATTTAATGCCTACACCACACAGCAGAGTGAGATAATATAATTATACTAACGTTGTCATAGGAAAGTTAACTGTTAAAGGTGCATCGCTCTTTTCCAAAAACGCAACATAACCAAAGAATGATACCAAAAATGTGCACGAAACAATGAAAATCATACCTAAAAAATATAAAAGTCTTGTTATTTGATTAAATTGATATTATTTACTTTGGCTACCATTACGTATTCTAACTTCGGATACCGTTAGTATGTGTGTACTGCAAGAGACTGCCATTTTTTTCACGCACATTTTGCGAAACGTGTTTCACCCATAAACGAGTCACCTTCTGTCAAATTATTAGAGTGCTAACCGTTCGGCACCCAAAGTAGCATAAAACTTTGGAAGATGCCTCGTTTAGAAATGAAACATGTCGCAAAACGTGCGTTGACAAAATGGTAGTCGGAGATTGATGGCTAATATGCAAGACTCTGTAACTTACGATAGTAATAGTGGTCAGTCTTCAAGTGTTGGCAGCCATGCACATACTAATGGTAGCGGAATTAAACAGAATAATTCTAATCAAATAACCAGTGATATGGACTTCCGCAAAATAACACCTAGTTCAGTAAAATATAAAGATCTTATTTCAAGAAAATTTTCTGCCATTTTGTACTTTATAGTTCACATTATACAGTTGACATTGCATTGTAGCATTATCTTTAAAATTTGAAAAATTGTAAGTGCATTCCAAGTGATAGAGAAGGTTATAGAGTGCAAAGTTGCAGAGAAATTTTATAGAACAGGTCATTGTTCTTTATACTCATAAAGAATAAGATATCATCTGCATCATGTCAAAGATTGCTACCATATTGCACACCTCTTTTATTTTTATTTTGTGGTCTATTTTTTTTTTTTCTTAAAGAAGCTAGTCAAAGTGATCACGCCCCACCTGATAGTATGCACGTAATGTAGTCCAAAGGTGAGGGTTACCGTCACAGCGATTTTTGGATAACGATCGTTATTTTGGAAGTCTACAAATACATCTCCTCACGCCCCGCTTAATTTCAGCAGCATGAGTCCATACTATACCACATCAGCCATTAGCTGTCCACTGCTGAACATAGGCCTCCCCATGAGGGGGAATTTTACCAAGTTGCGACGCTTGGGAAGCGACAGTGCTGTCGTGACCACGATATGATGCAATCCACGTCGGCAATAAAGAAGCAGGTATGTAAATACTATTTACCTGCAAAATTTTTCATCGCATTAAGTTTTTTTTTTATACAACTTAGAATGGCAAACAAACTGACGATCCACCTGATGGAAAGTGGTAACCGCCGCCTATAGACATGAGCAGTATTATGGACATAACAGAGTATACTGTTTCGCCCATGATACCCCCCATGTGTTGCCATTCCTGAGGACTCGGGTGTTATTTCTCTGTACCCAGTAAATTCACGCCATATCCCACCCTTCAAACCGAAACACAGCCATGCAAACACAACTGCATCACTGTTGAAACACGAATGGGACAGAGGTACCCAAGCAATTGATTTTTGTACAAAGTCTCCCTCTGGTAAGTCTCGATAGTGTGTTTAAAATATGTGTAAACAACGCAAAAGTTTAAAATAAACTATGTGATCAATACTGTCTTCTTGTGATAAGTTCTCCAGAGACAATTAACTACATTTCAATTACACTGATTGTAAGGACTAAATCATTCAATTGCAGTTTTTTTGCAAATAAAAAGTTGTTCACGTAACAACAGCTTCAATTTTTTCATCGCACTAATGACCAGTTGAACAATGCAAAGCATGACATCTATTTTACTAATAATAGCACATTTTTTGATACAACATTGTAATTTATTTTAAAGATACCCTATTTTAGTAATATAAAACATATTGTTTACTGAATCTTGTACTATTGTAATATAGCAAAACTACACGAAAACATGTATCTAATTGAAGGCATTGGTGTCTAAGATACAGGCTAGGCCTAGTTTAGACACTAATGTGCGAGGCATAATGTTACATTTTATACATACATATTTCTTTGAAATTTCTGTAAGCCCATGACTGAATATTTTTATGTGCAATAAATCTTTTATCTTATATTTTTGGTTGCTTAAAAAAAAAAAAGAACTTACCAATAATCAAAGCAAACGTGAATTTCTTTGGCTCCTTCATATTATTTTCTATTGGGATCACAATTCCTGCACAGGACATAGTGAACACACTCATGCCTATGAATTCAAAGAAACTCCACACTGTCGTTACGGGTACCAAATTTGAGAATGATGGATTGAAATGTAACGCGTAATGTACTGCCATTCCAATAGCGAACACTGTATAATTGTGAAAAAAAAAATTAAGAATAAAACCTTATAAAAGATACATCATCATCATCATCATATATCATCATCAACCATAAACTGTTCACTGCTGAACATAAGCCTTCCCCAGAAGGACAGTTTTGCCAATAGTTAGCACTTATTGAGATGATGTTTTAGTGATGTTTTAACATAAGAGGGACGCTGCTACCCTCTTCCATTAAGTTCCCTTAGTCGCTTTTTACGACACCCACGAGAAAAGAAGGAGTGGACTACACCGGGACTACACGGTGAAAGCACACTTTAAAAGAAAAGTCTGGAAACCTAGATTGGTTTCCAGACTTCCACGGTTGATATTTATGCTGTCATTCCCATGTTCACGAGAAGCAATAATACGCCAAAGCTGCTATCTCATCTCTAAGACAATGGAAATGTATCTATCAATAGATTGTTTGCCATTTGTCTAATAGCGTTAGGCTGTGTAAAGTAAACAGAAATAGCCAAATTATGGAAATAATTAGATTATAATAATATGGGAATCAATAGACATAGTAGCAGGGAAAGACTCCTCTCGCTTTATTTTCATAATTTTCTGATATCGTTCTTTACTAGTTTTTACGCACGACTTCATCGGCGTGACCGAGATATGTTAACTGACCTATGTATAAAGTAGCCTATCTCTTTCTCCATCTCATATACTACGTGTATATCATATTTCATAGTGATTTATTAAGCCGCTAAGGCGCTATAAGGTGACAAATACATTTCCACATTTGTTATATTGATAAAAATTATAAATGTAATAATAAAATTTTACATAATAGTGCATTAGGAGAGTATGAGCCTATTAATGACGGGCAGGCGGCTTGGTATATGGTTTTATTTCTAGATCTCCCATGCTTGTACTGGTAGATATATTATGCTTTGTTCTCTTAATCAGGTCTTTAGATGACTTGGAAAAAAGACATACTGTATTATCTCCATCACTGATGATGAATATGGATTAACTAGCTATTACCCGCGACCTCGTCGCTGTGACCAGGACATGTTAATTGGCTATCTCAAAGTACCTACCTGTATTCCAAATTTCATGACTTGACCTTAGCCGTCAAAGCACCAATAACAGACGAATGAACAAACTCACATCACGTTTATATTGTTAATAAGTATTGTCATTTAGTTTTCTATTGTTATGTTTTATGATTCCTATTGTTGATGCAACGAATTCTTTTTCTTATTTTCAATAATTTTAATAATAAAATTAGCTTTTTAACTAACAAATAGAAATTAAACTTACATATAACGACATTGGCTGCTGCAGAAACAGGCGCCAACCATTTCAAATGTGTAACTAAACAGATCAGTATAATTGGTACAATTATTGCTGCCAAATACACCCGAAGGCTTGGATAACCTTAAAGATGTTGTTACTTTTTTAGAGACATGAGCACTAATGACGTTATGGTAATTTATTGATATATTTTAATATACGTATATAAGAATCCCTTATCATGATGTTGGTTCACGCTAACCTCCGAAAGTGGTTAAAGGATTTTAGTTAATTTTTTAAACATTTGTTGTTTACTTCAGCTTAAGAGATAGAATAGTTTAATCGTTAAGTATCCTAGGGGACATAAGAGCATTTTTTTATACAACTTAGAATGGCAAACAAGCTGACGGCCCACCTGATGGAAAGTGGTAACCGTCGCCTATAGACATGAGCCAGATCAGGTAGCATTACATAAGAAATAAATGCTGTTTTTCACAAACGTACTTCACTTGAAAACTGTTTTTCATTTTTTTAAATATGTAGTTTATCTTTCATTCTTATATGCTAACCATTATGATCATATTTTAAATAGTTCCTTTCTAGGCAAAAAAATACTAATGGCCCACCTGAAGAAAAGTGGCAGCCGTCGCCTACAAAATGAACACACACCACCACGGGCGTTGTAGAATACACTATGATGCCACTGGAATTCCTAATGCGTTGCCATTTCTGAGAACTACGAAGTAATGCCTTCATCTCTTGCAATTTCACCGCCACTTACCATCCTTCAAACCATGAAAGCTGCTTCGAGTCAGAAACAGGAATAGGGAATCCATTTTTAAAGTCATACGCACCTTTTGTGTAAAGGTCTCTCTGATCTTTCTATAAAAAAGTAAATACAGCTTACCTGATAAACCTTCCAAAGATGTCTCTTGAGTATTTTCTACGAGTTGTTTAATTGATTTTGCAATAATCAGCTGGTAGCAGGCACATGACCCAAATAAATCGAGACATATAATCCCATCTATCGTATACCTGTTCAACAAATAAGATCATATTTTATATTTCCTAATAAAACCAGAAAAAAGTTTAAAAACTTGTATTATTATAACAGTGCATGTGTTAATACTATAATAACAAACTAAAATTGGACTCTAATACTAATGTCATCATCGTCATCGTCATCTCAGCCAATATCCGTCTACAGCTGAAAATAAGTCTCCCCCATAGATTGCCATAAAGAACGGTCCAGAGCCACCTGCATCCACTGACTCCCTGCAATGCATTTAAAGTCGTCAGCCCATCTAGTAGTGGAATAGGGGGGAAGGGATTGTTATTAATGGAGACTAAGGGCACCATTGCTAGCAATATGCCCAACTAGATAAAACTCTACGTGGTCTCCCCTGGAAACCATCGTGCTGAATTGGATCACGATGGGTTAATTATCTTTTTATCCTCACCTCTCATCCCTCACTAGTGCCCCACCAGTGTACACCGCAGGCGGGGTTATAATTCCATCATCACCTCTTAAAATAAGTGGTGGAACACTCTTATACTTTCGTAAATTAGTTAATGATAAATATTGACCTGAATACTTTCGAATACTTCGCAACTTTTGGGTTTGAAAAACAAGCCACAGCTGCTTCTCCTACATCAGGATATGACATAGAAGGTATTCTGGTTCGCCTATATAAAATTTGTGCAGAGTGAACTAAAATCTGAAAAATTGTTTATGTAATCCAGGTATTAATTAATTCAAATCTGGAAGGGTCTTATTATTTCCTGCCATTTGCTGTACAGGTCATGGATCCATGGGGCCCAGTTGTGTTTTTATCAGATGATCGCAACGCGCCTTATCGAGGTTACTAGTGACCCAAGAGCTGGTAAATATTTTGTGCAAAAGATAAGTTTGCAATCCGAAGAGGTAATGCTATCAGTATCTTGTGTATCTTAGGAGACTATTTATAATTAATTGTTAGTGTTAAAAAAATTGTATAAGTTTAAATTATTATATGATGGTAAAATTAAGGTCCGATATATTTAGTTTTTATAAGTGGTTAAGGAAACAAACTTGAAAAAAATATTAAAGTACTCACGTATAAGCAATACGTCATGTAAAAACCACATATTATGTTAAAAGGTATAGCGATGGCAATACCAGCTTTCATATAAGCAACATGACCACCAAGAATTCCACCTCCTAAAGCACCTTTGATCATATGGGCTACAGATCCAATGACTCTACAAAAAAAATCAAGAAGTGTAATATTACTGAAACTTAAAGTTATTGAAATCATATTTGTGTGATTCCGGGAAGATCATTTTACTTTGGCCGTGTGGTCCCGATATAGGATAGGTCGCCCCTTTTTTCCCGTAGGTATCGTAAAAGGCAACTGAGGTAACTAAATGTTCGAGGGATGGGCAGCAGCGTTCCTCTTAAATTATCACTAAATCCTAAACTGCGGTTGCAAACCCGCCTGCCAAGCATGACTACTACTGGCAAAACCCTCAAAGTGAAGGCTAATGTTTAGCATTGAATAGTTAACAACTTTATCGTCTTCTCCACATAGTCTGAAACAATGTCGCTTCCAGTCATTTGTAGGCTTAGATCTTTATACAACGGTGGCACTTTTTCAATAGGAAGAGCAGTTTTCATCAATAGACAAAGTGATTCGAGAAGAAGGTCTTTATGTAGGTGTCGTTTAATATTGTTTTGTTACCCGATATATTACCCGGAAGATTAAGACTGTCCCTGGTTAAATACGGATAGAGCAGAATAATGGTTAATATCGAAATATGAAGGTGACTTGGCCGTATGGTCCTGGCATAGAATAGGACATCCCTTCCTCTCACATGGGTGCCGAAAGAAGCAACATAGGAAGGGTGACGGAAGGACAGCAGCATCCCTCTTAAAACATCTCTAAAGCCTAACTGCGGTTGCCAATACGCCTGCCCAGCGTGGCAACTACTGGCAAAACCCTCCAAGGGAGAGGCTTATGTTCAGCAGAAGACTGATATGATGGTGATAATGTAACATGATGATGAAATACACTCACCCACTCGGCTTAGGAACATCTCTGAACTGTGCATAGTCAAATGCATCTTCTTCTTGCTGATTTTGTGCTAATGCTCTAAAATTGCCACTTCCTCCCTCTGCCGGTTTAAGACCAGCCTAAAAAATTACAGAAAATTTAAGCTCTCTCTGTACCAAAAATTTGTACCTAGCTAATTGTTAGATTGTTAATAAAAAAGTTTAGCGACTACTACAACTACTAACAATGGACCCCATCAGAACGACCTTTACGTGCCCCAGAAAACCATCATAGTGATTTTTTTAATTCCATGTGAATTCGTTATAACGACCTAACCATAAGCGTATGGAGGAAAGTGATTGTTAGTAATATGGACTACCAATCCCATTGCTAGCAATATATCTTTTTTTTTAAAGAGAAACTTTGGAATTCCTTGTGTATTCTTCACGATGGGCCTAGTTAACTTAAATAATTATCTTAACTCTTCTATTTTAACTTATCATTCCTCACTGATGCTCCGTCAGCTAGCGATACTGTTACCGCATGCGGGGTTACCATTCCATTATCATCCATTAACAAAAACAATATGTGTATTTAAGCGAAGACCGAGATGACCTATTAACCATAAAACAGGATTACTTAGTAATACTTCTTCGACCACCACGGTATGTTCTATATTTGCTTGTTAATCATCATAATATCAGTTTTTAACTATCCACTGCTAAAGATAGGTCTCCTCTTATTGGGAGGTTTTGCCAATAGTTGACACGCTTGGCAGGTGGGTTGGCAACCGCAGTTAAGCTTCGTGATGTTCCGTGACGTGACGCTCCTGCCCATCTCTTGACCATCATTCCCTTAGTCGTCTCTTATGACACCCACGGGAAATCAGGGGAAATGAAGGGGTGTCTTCTTCTATGCCAGGACCACACTGCAGATGGGTTTACTATTCGTTGTTATTAAAAAAAAATGTTGAGTATAAAACCATACCAGGTATTATCATTAATCCATGGAAATTAGGCTTTTCAACCGAATTAAAAAAGAGATGTTTCACAATTAGCCGAATTGTTACTTTTTGTAAATTAATAGAAAAACTAAATAAAATTTTCTTTTTCCTTATTACAAAAAGATTTTTTGTGTCTTACTAAGAATTTTTTATCTTAGGTTTCCATTTTTCAAACATAATACTAAACTACCAGAACAGTGGGGAGAGGGATAGTCAGTAAAAGGGATTAATGACTTCACAGCTGGCAATATGCCCTAACATATTAATTTTCACGTGCTCACCTTTGGAAACCGTCGTGATTAATCTCTGGCGAATTAGTCATGATAAGGTGTTTTCATTTTCATCTATCCATCTCCACAGGTGCTTTGCCAGTATATACCGACAGCATCGGCAGGGTTACCATCCCATTTCCAACCAAATAGAACTATGTAACTATATCAAAATATGTAAACTAAGAAAACGTGAAGAAAAAATCTACCCAAAACATAATGAAAGACACAGAATGACTTTGGAACAACATATTATTACATTCAACATACCATTTCAATTCATACAAGTACAGAAATATAACAAATAATTTTTAATATAGACATTATAATAAAATACATATATAAAAAAATAGAATATTTTCTTAAATCTAGAAGTCAAACATTCTAAATCTTTTCTGACATTTTCAACTGACAATAAAAGAAGACATCTTTCGCTCTATAATAGATAAGGAGAATTTCATTAAAAGGTTTTCTTTATATTATATATTAATTATTCCGTTAATGTATATTTGTTAACAACCAATTAAAGTTATCGTTGCCCTCTGTTGGACACTGGTCTTCCTTTATAAGAGAACTACATAACCTATTATACTACGATGGCCAGATAGCTTGTAGCTTTAATTTTAAATTCCCTTCTTACAATGACCAAGAATTTGAAAGAGAGTAGTAATATTATTGTATTTTTATTTGATCGCCACACTGGCATCTTTTAACTAAACCAAATTTTAATGCAGCCGTAGATTCCTTGCCGTATGATCCCGAAATAGAATGGAGCAATCCTTTCTTTTTCGTAAAAGGAGACAAAGGGAATTTAATGGTTGATAAATGGCAGCGTCGATCCCTCTTAAAATATCACCAAAGTCTAATTGCGGTTGCCAACCCGCCTGCCAAGCGTGGCAACTACTAGCAATACCCCCAAGGGAGATTCCTATGTTCAGCAGTGATCAGATAGCTGACATGATGATGATGATGATGATTAATAGATCCCTAATCCATTAACTTACCAAACTTTTCCCCATTTTTTAAAAGAGAAACTTCGACAGACTTTTATATGTTTAATAAATAATCAACATTATAAATAATACACCTGATCATATAAGCAAATCAGTTGCTTAAACAACCCTTCATTAGGCATGCTCCCAGTTCAAATAATGGACATAAGAAACAAAGGGTTATGATAGAATTAGATCGTTAACATCAGCGATAAGGCATTCCTATAGTCCACTGTCAAACACGGCAAACAAGCGTAAACATTAATCAGCATAAAAACAGTGTGAGTGAAATATGAATTCTTAACGCGTACCGTACGATACCTAAGTATTTTATAATCGATTTCACGGCAAACCAATCTAAACGAGACCTTTTAGTTGACGCATTTAGTTCTTTTGTTTAAACTATTGAAGTAACACTAATAATTCTGAACAATTATATTATAATACCTTTAACCATGAACAAGTTCATTTATCTTATTTTTGCTCTGCTATGTATTGTAAAATTGACTAAAAGTGATGTGAGTGTACATTTTCAATTAAAAATCAGTCATTGATAGATCATTATTAAAATAAATAAGCATTACTAGATAAATAGTAATGATAATAAATTTCAATAACAAGAATGTGGTCTATACTGTACCTAATTGCGTTAAAACAATAAGCTCGTTTGCTAATACAAAATAAATCACCCACTATTAAAAGATAATAATAATAATCACCAACTTGGTGATGATAATGCTTACGAAATAGACACAACAAATAATATGAAAAAAAAAAATAACAAAATAAGTACAGTAAATGGTTTTTTTATGGGTGATAATAGACTGGTAACCCCGCCTTCGCTATTGGTATACGCTGACGAGGTACTAATAAACTAAAGGTTATAACAGCCTGTAGTACTCTTTGCAAATCCTATTCAGTACAATGCTCTTTAGAAATGTAAAATTTTTACGTGTGGTCCTGGCATAGAATAGGCCACCCCTTCCTTTTCCGTGGGTGTCATATTGGGGCAACTAAGGGAAAGCGAGAGATGGGTATCAACGTCCCTCTTAAAACATCTCCAACGCCTAATTGCAGTTGCTAATCCGCCTACCAAGCGTGGCAACAACTGCCAAAATCCCCCCAAGGGTGAGGCTTATGTTCAGCAGTGGACAGTTAAAGGCTGATATCATGTCCGATGATGATGATGACTATATTTTCATACTGTTTTTATTATGAGGAAATAACACCACTCCATTATTTAAAAAAAAACTGCAGCGAGTAGCATGATATTGTTTAGTTTAAGTGTAAAATGTTATAAATAACGTGATCGAATTAATTCATAGGAAGAAGGAGAAGAACGAATTGCCAAAGAACAAACTGACGAATTTAGTAAAACAAGTTCAAATGTTGCTGCGTCTCTGGATTCCATTACGGATGTTTTAAGTGATAGTGAATTTTTGGCAAAATCAGATAATGACAGAGATGCATCACGCACAGAAAGATCGGCAGTGAATGATGATAATGTAAAAAAAGCAACCGAAAAATTTGCAGACGAGGAATTAAAAACAAGTGGTGCTGTTGATGATTTATATAACAAAGAAAGCAAAAATGATAATGAGATGGAATCGAAAAATGACAATGAACGATCAGGTGACGATTCATCTGTTTCCAAATTAGATGATAATTCCGAGTCTAGAAATGCCGTAAAAATGGATGAAAATCCTGATAATGAATCTAAAGCAGATGATAGTTTGGATAATGTGCAAAAATCTGATGAACCGATAGACGTTTTGAACAAAAGTGATAAACAAGAAGAATCCAGTCTTGATAACAATGATTCACCCATACTTCGTGAGGGAATTTCAGCTCCAGAAAACTTAGTAAGAGAATTTACTTCAGAAGATACTATACAATTAGACAAACCAGATACCAGTCTATTAAATTTTGAAGGTACAAGAAGAATGTTAAACCCTGTTGTAGACGAAGCTGCTAAATCAGCTGTAAAAACTGCAGTAAATGTGGAACAATATGTGAAATCCGTAGCAGAGCCCGATTATATCTCAAGAACTATTAGTAATGTTAATGATTTTGGTATGACTACATACTTTTGCTTAAATTTCATCAATAAGTTTTATTACCTTATCTTCTTAGCATCTTAGACAGAGGGAGACTTTGTACAAAAGTCAATTGCATGGGTACCTCTGTCCCATTCGTGTTTCAACCGTGAAGCAGTTGTGTTTGCATAGCTGTGTTTCGGTTTGAAGGGTGGGATATGGCGTGAATTTACTGGGTACAGAGGAATAACATCTGAGTCCTCAGGAATGGCAACGCAGGGGGGTATCATGGGCGAAACAGTATACTCTGTTATGTCCATGGTACTGCTCATGTCTATAGGCGACGGTTACCACTTTCCATCAGGTGGGCCGTCAGCTTGTTTGCCATTCTAAGTTGTATAAAAAAAAAAAAAAAAAAAAAAAAAAAAAATCTTAGATTTTTTATGACACTTAGAATGGCGAACAAGCTGAGAGCTCACCTAATATAAAGTGGTAACCATTGCCTATAGACTTTAACAGTACTATTATGCCCATAGTACCCATCATACGTTGCCACTCCTGAGTAAGATGTTATGCATCCATGCTCCATGCATGTCATATTTTATTGGCCTTGACCTTCAGCTGCTTTGTACTAGAAATACTAGTGGGATAGAGGAACCCATGCAAACGACGTTTATACCTAGTTATAAAAAATAACAATAGTCTTAGATAAAGTAATTCTTACCGCTAGGAATTAATTAAATTAATTTCACATTCATTACTTTTTAGTAATAAAAAAAAAGTTTAATGCTCTTCCTGCTTCTGTGTTTACATAGATATGAAATCTAGGACTTATAAAATCGATAAAGAATAAATGGTTTTTTTTTCATGTTTTTTTTTTCAATAGGTGATAATAGAATGGTAACCCCGCCTGCTTATCAGTATACGCTGGTGGGGCACTAGTAAAGTATGATGGGTAAAGAATGCAGGTCAGTTGGACCATCATGACGAATTTTTTAAAAAAATTACTAAGATGATTTCTAGTGAGAACTACGTGGAGGTCGATCTGATAGGATGTATTGCTAGCAATTGGCCTATTAGATTCTCATTACTAATAATCCCTTTACCCACCCATATCACCAAGTTAAGCAATATCAACGCATTATAGGTATCAAGCATAAATAATAATAATAATATAATTGCGCAGTAAGCGCACAAAAGAGAAATATACAAGGAGTATTTGTACAGAATGTGCAAATACAAAAGGCGGTCTTATCGCTAAAAGCAATGTCTTACAGACAGCTTGGGAGAAATAGTAAAAAAATACAAAAAGAAAGGTATAGGGCGCAAGTCAGGGAAAACAGTAAACTAATAAAAAACCGACTAGAAATAAAAAGAAAATATCTATAAAAGTATTTTCCAACTCTTTCCAACATCAGTAATTTCAATTATCTTTTAATTTTTGTTTCAGACAGTCGCCGCAACTATGCAGGTGAAGTAGATACCCCGCACATATACCATACACGACTACTACCTGAAACACTTAATTATCCTGTACAGCATTTTCCTAAAACTGTAACACCTGTTATTGTACAGAAAATTTCCGAGAAAGATATTTTTAGTGCTTTAGATGCAAATTCAAGAAAACTATTAGAAACACCAATGAATGGTCTAAGTAAAGATGTAAGTTCGACTGAGGAAATAATTGGAGCTGATGATCTGATGCATAATGCTTATCCTTATGCATCTATGTCGACAAGGAGTGGTCATTATCCTCAAGTTAATATAAAACCTCAGTTACCATATAGTAATCCAAATGCAAATATATTCAGACCTAGTAATCAACATCAAATTCCTTATTATTCGGATTTTTACAAACCGTTCAATTCAAATTATTTTAGTCTTGGTCTCGGACAGTCTAATACCAATAGATTTATTCACTCCGTAACATAATAAACCAAATAATAATTTAGTATTAAAAATATTTGTAAGTAATAAATATTTTAATAAATTAATTGTAATTATTACTTTCCTTTGATTTTCAAATGAATCGTCCTCAACAATCAATGGAGAGAGCTTTTTTTTAATAGGTGATAATGGTATGGTACACCCGCGCTGTCGGTATACACCGGCGGGGCACCAGTGAATGATGACAGCTCACCTGTCATCATTCACTGGTAGTATTCACATGAAGTAGGTCAGTTAACCTATCGTGACGAATTCAACAAGAATTATTCACGATGTTTTCCAGGGGGAATCACGTGGAGGTCGACCTAATAGGGTATATTGTTAGCAATGGGGCTATCAAGCTCCATTGCTAACAATCCCTTTCCCCCAATGGAGAGAGTTATGCTCGTAGGCTCTTTGCGTGATAGAATCCGAAACGAGGATATCTACAATAAAACCAAAGTAACCGACATAGGCCGCAGGATAAGCAAGCCAAATTGTCAATAGGTTGGTCACATAACTTGAAGTACCGACAACCGATGGGAAAATTCTTAGCGTGTTAACGATTTAACGGTATACACTAAAAACCAAAGATTTTAGCTAAAAACCGTTTAAAAAGAATATTACGAATAGTAGATCAGTTGTGAGACACCAATTCTATAGAAGTTATATTTAAAATTAAAACTTTAATTTGAAATCACAGCAAATTTTTTTTTATGGGTGAAAATGGAATGGTAACCCTGCCTGCGCTAACGGGATACGCTGGCGGAGCACCAGTGAAGGGTGATAGATGAGAATGAAAACAGGTCAGTTAGCCTATCATAATGAATTCATCAGGAATTAACCATGATAGTTTCCAGAGGGAACCGCGAGGAGGTCGACCTGGTTGGGTATATTGCTAGCAATGGGATTCTCAGTCTCCGTTACTAACAATCCCTTTCCCCCCCAAAATTTTTATTATAAGGACCAATATAAACTTATGATTCTCCAAAAAAAAAAAACAGAAATTACGCGAAATTATCAAAATAAAACAGGTTAAGACATATGTTTAAAAAATAGCTCTTCAGAATCTGTCTAATACCTCAATCTCAATCAAATGCATGAAACCTGCAGTTGTCAATGTCAAAACTGTCATTAATTTTTTTCACTTTGACATTCAGGCTTAGCACTTTATTTTATTTTTCTCTGTTTAGTCTGTAGTTTTTCATATTTATCTTTTATATTTTTTAAACATTAGTTTAAAAATATAAAATATATCAATAATGGGTAAAAGATATCATTGTAATTACTGCGACAAAACTATGGTAGCTGCTCCAGCTATCGTGAAAACACACAACAAAGGGGTTGTTCATCAAAAATTAGTCCAGGAACACTATCAACAATTCAAAGGTAGGTCGATAAGTTTATTATTGAAACCACAAAAGTGGAGACCAGGGCGAAATCTACTTTAATTATGGATACTGAAACACAATAATATTATGTACGTAATTAAGTATTATAGTTAAGTAACTTTTATCTCCAACTTTCTTCTGTGTGACTGCTAATATGTACATTAACCGGAATAAAAACTAGCGTATATCCTTCTTCCCATATATAGTTCATAAAATGGATTGTTGAGCTACTAAGAAATGAAATCTTGTGTAAGATGATTAATAATATATTATGCCAACTTCAAATAAAGGCAAGAAGAAGATGACTGTTCTTAAGCATTTATTATTCATTTTTCATTTAGAAGTTGTGTATTTTAATAAATAACAATTGGGTGTATATTTAGTAAATGTGGAGCTATATAAACCTGCACTGTAATAAGTATCTCTTTTTTCTGCTCATTTGAAATATCCAGATGCATAGTTTTAAGAATTTTAATATACTTATATCAATATATGATAAGACATACATATGGGAACAACTTAAATACCTCACATTTTTAGCATTGTCATTAAAAACAAATGCTTTTTGACTTTATATCATCATGAACAAGACATAATACTAATATTACCATTGTCTATAGATATGAATAACACTATGGATATCAAAATAAACTGTTATATCTATGGTACCTCTCCAGTGGTGAATGTACAGATTTGTCGCTAGTAGACTATTTTGCCATCCCTACGAACCTCTACAATTTATTACCCTAATTTACAATTATATTAATTACAATTATTTAGTCAATGAAACTGTAACTTTTAGCCTCAAATTTGCTTCCCCTAAAATCTGCCATCCTAGGTTCCTACACAGCCTGCTGGTATATCCACCATTGTACCTCTCATACATTACAATTCTTGATTATAAAGGTCTTCTATAACTTCTAATTATTTTCTTTAATGAAGAATTTTTTAATTTTTTTTTCATTAACATGGAATAAAACCTACATCATATTAAAATTGTCATCCAAATATATAAAATCAATAATCATACAAAATTAATAAGCATAATATTAAATCAATTTCAGATCCTGAAACTATATTAGCTGAAGAAAAGACAAAAAAGCCATGCCTTAGATTTACCAAAGGAGAGTGCAAATTTGGTGGTATATGTAGATACTCTCACTATACGAAGGAACAAATAGAATCATTAAAAGAATATGGTAAGTAACATTATCAGACCAAATGAATTATCATCACATCACACTTTCCACAATGTAACATATCGATACCATACCCTGAAATTTCACTATCATATACCATTCTTCAGTAAGAAACATAGCAATGCAAATACATTTACTTACTAGTAGAAACATGACTGGGATAGAGTTTTTTTTTTGGTGGATGAAAATGGAATGGCAACCCCGCCTTTACTAATGGGATACGCTGGCGGAGCACCAGTGAAGGGTGATAGATGAGAATGAAAACAGGCCAGTTAGCTCATCATGATGAATTCATCAGGAATTAACCATGATAGTTTCCAGGGGGAACCACGAGGAGGTCGACCTGGTTGGGTATATTGCTAGCAATGGGATTTTTAGTCTCCATTACTAACAATCCCTTTCATAACTGGGATAGAGTTACCTGAGCAGACAAATTAATACCTAGTGTCTCTCTCTTTTTGTACTAAATAAAGGAGATGGATTGAATTCAACAGGTATTTTGTGTGTAGGTTTTCATACATTTAAAATATTTTCTCTTTTAAAACTATTATAGCTATATGATTCATTTTGTTAATAAAAAAGAATGTTAAGTACCTTATTTTGATATTTAAAAGATGGAAATGAATGCAATTATTTAGGTAAACTAGGTATATAATTTACCTGAGTGACCTTGACATTTCGACCAGGTTACATAAGACATGGTCATGAGTAAACTCATGTAACTATTAATTCTTGTCTCTTATAAACAATGCAATGCCAAAGTTTAAATATTAATAATTTATTTCGTACAAAATTTTTAAAATAATATCCTATCATATATTCAATATGTAATATATTAATTGATTTGAGTAACTAATTTAAAAAAAATGTTACATTAATGTTTAAAATCTGAAACATAATTTCATTGTAGTTGCTGCCAAACAGAGGAACAAAACACAAATCCACCAACCATCATTTGAGGATCTATATCAAAAACTACAAGATGAGAAATCGAACAAACCTCTGTCTGATGAAGGTAACACCATACTCTACGACAACAATGGTGTTACACATATACTGCCTTGGACATACAATAATGACTTTGATACTTATGGTGATAATTTACCACCTAGTCTTCGAAGATTTAAGATTGAAGACTTTGTAAATGCCAATGTTACTGAATGGGGATAAATAAAATGGCCTTTAAAAGGTAAATATTTTATTTTTTATTTTAAAATAGTCTGGCTGATACTGCTTGATCATGTATGCAGCTCATTAATGTAATGAAAAAAAGTTTTTACAGTACAATTTAGAAGTAGTTTGTCTTAGTCTCCCTTAAAGTAGGTACTATGTACCTGCAGTCCCACACAGTAATATTCTTTATCTATGTCTACAATCTTCTTGTCCATTTAAACCAGGTAGGTTTATATGATGCAGATGTATATTTTGGAAGTTCATACTGTAATGATGGATAATTTATAAATCTGAACTGTGGAGACACCTCGTAGCGTATAGTTTCTATCTAAAAAAAAATTTATTCTTAATACGTAGTTTAAATTCAATTCAATTTGTTACTGAAATATTTATTTGCCATTTGAAATCAAACTCCTTTCCACAGCCTTAGTATTTTTTACATGATGGCATGATCTAATAATTGTTGTGTGGTCCCAGCATAGAATACCACCCCTTCCTTTCCCATGGGTATCATAAGAACCGACTAAACAAAACTTAATGGTAGTGGGAAGCAACATTCCTCTTAAAACATCACCAACAGCCTAACTGCAGTTGCCAGTCCCGCCAGCGTATACCGATAGCGCAGGCGGGGTTAACATTCCATTAACATCCATTAAAAACTGCAGTTGCCAACGCCAAGTCCGGCAACTACTGGCATAAACCCATTTATGAGGGAGGCCTATGTTTAGCAGTGGACAGTTAATGGTTGATATGATGATGAGGGGATGATAATGAAATGGTGCTGGCGAGACACCAGGAAGTGATAATAGGTAAGAATAAAGTCAGATCAGTTGAGCCAGCGAAACCAGGAATGAACCACTATGGTTTCCAGGGGAACGTGGGTTCAACCTTATAAGGTATATTGCTAGCAATGAGGCTTTAGACCCTCTTTTCCTCCACATTATTTGTGTCGAAGTATCATTTCAAATTAGTGTGTTATACAACAATGACAGTTATTGTTCAATGATTAAGTTCAACCTAATGCAGTGGGGGAAGGGATTGTTGGCAACGTAGCCTGTCGAACGACTCTAAAGTCACAAATGTTAACCTCGCCACCTTTGAATGATGATTGGCGATGATGAAGTGAGGTCGAATCTTGGTGACATATTTACCAAAAATTAATCACAAAGTTTACTAAAGTTACCTAATAGGTTATTATATAATCCTATAATAAATATTAATAAAATTAAATTACTAATAAAATAAAATTGCAAGTAGACGACGTCTGTACGAATACATGGGAGATATTTAACAAAATTTATTTTAAGAAAATTTGTCTGTCTGTCTGTCTGTATGTTTGTTTCGGCATCACTTTCATGTTTGTGTTGCTGAAGGTCCAACTTAAAACTGGTATATGTTTTATCTTGATACGACGCTTAAACGGTCGTCTATTTAATTAAATTTCTAACTTCTGATATCCACGCGTAAGAAGTAATGAGCAAAAAGTAATAAATTATAAAAGTAATAAATTACCTGATTTATACATAAGTTTGAAATTAACAATAGTACAATTGATAAAGGAGTGACATAAAATAGACAAATAATTGGCATTCTTTATTATACAGATCGCAAAATATATAAATAAATGTATTTAATAAATGGTGATGATAATTTTCTATGAGAATTACCAGTTTTTTTTTTATATTTTTTTTTTCTATAAACAGGAGTGTTTTTACGGCTTTTTTATGTGATTATAATGTGATATATTATTTTACCTATATTAAATGAAAATATTTCATTAAACCCGTGAAGTGTTTTCCGAAACGTTTACTGTTTACAATAATTCTACTCTTTTATCAGGCACATAAAATGGTTTATATACTTACCAATCTCGTTATTTTTAATGCGCTTGACGAATTTTTATTTTTACTTCCATACAACCATCAAATAAACATTTTATAATAAACTAAATAAGGTGCCTATTTTTTATTAAGAATATCCACATTAATTTTAAAATAACGCTATTGTATATAAATAACGTTTTAACTGTGACAGAGGGATGGACAACCCCTCGATTATTAAATTCTCTTAGTCACCTATTACGACACCCACGGGAAAGAAAGGGTTGGCCCATCCTATGCGGGACCGCTTGGCAAAAAACACGGGTTGTGAATACTTAATAGCCATGATTCGATGATTATAAAATTATTTGCCTATATTTTTTTTACAGATTATGTTATTGTCATCAGAAATACATGGAAAATATATCAATGGTATAAAAAGAGAAAATTCAGTCTATCAGTCTCCTAAGTATATTATTGTTTTATCTCAAAAACAAAATAATTATGATTTACATAATATAAACAAAGAAATGTATACTGAAATTAATCCAGATTCCAATATGGCTAATCTTAACGAATTAAACAATAAAGGAATTTTTAGATTTGATATTAAAAAGGACAGGGCGGAAAGAGAAAAAGCCAAACTGGTAAAATCACAGCATGAACGTAAAATGAAAGAGATAACAGAATTTATGAAAGATCATTTATTAACTACAAATTATTTTTATAATGAAATAAAGAGAATTAAAAGCTCACGACAATTAAAAGATGATTTAAGAGAAATGATTAGTTATCTTGAAATCCCTACGAATAAGGATGTCAAAGATGGAGTATTGAAATGCTTTAAAAATTTCAAAGCATGAAAAAGAAACCAATAGATGTTTGGAGACATAAAACTAATAATTTAATAATAAATGTAATCAAAGATCCGTAAAATTACGGCTTCATTAATTAACTATCTATTAATACAATTTATGGGAAATAGTCAAGAATAAGGCAAGCCAAACAAGCAAGTTTCTGGCGTAGTATGAACATTATTATAGTTCAAGAGCCTAATTCTCATTATTTACAAATAGGTATCAATGGAGTCCTATTAATGTAAATAAATACATTTGTTTTTTTTTTTATCTTTATTTTTATTTCCAATATCATTTCCAAATATTGCTTTCATTAATAAGTCTAATCCAAATAATCTTCTTTCAAATTTACTTCTCACTAAGGTTCAAATAAAGCATATTCTATCTTATCGTGAAATAGTGTTCAGATAATTTAACCGTAGTCTACTACTCTCTCTCTCTCTCTCTCTCTCTCTCTTCGAGTCTTCGCTCTCAGATTTGGATTCAATATCCTAATTTAGGGATAGGATAGAGATATGGGTATTGGATCTTTCATGAATATACCTAAACGTACTCCTATCCACCTTCTTAGAGTCAACATTCTCACCTCCGGAAATGAAAAAATTAAACCTTTCGTTTAAACAACATTAAAGTTTTTTTTTTTATCGTTACTCATTAATTACATAAAGAAGTTTCGGCGAGTACCGCTTGAGAACAGATACCAACTGATAAAGCTTCGATCCTGGCATTATCTTGGTTTTAACGGATTTCTGAAAATTGTGAAACAAAAATCAGAAAAAAATGATCTTACATCTGGAACCGAAATTCAATGCTACATATAGTAATCAACGTCGTAGCAATTTAGCGACTAGGTACAGATCTATAATGCTATGGAACTGCTGCATCGAGCTTCTAAATTAACTTGGACTAATTGATGAGTTCGTACACAGCTTTGAATTTCCGAAATATGTACAACTAAATCTCCAGTTGTCATAATTAAAAGCATCGTACCTTTCTTTTAGGAATACCTTCAACTACTACTCGTGTAAGATTGTCTTAAATAATGCTAAAAAATCTGCTAGTCCATGGAAATTGTTTTATAATAATTCTATACATTGTTGAAAAGGATAGACAAAACCATTTATAAATTATTTATTGAATACTTACCAACACAAGAGACGAATCAATCGTATCTTGTCCCTATAATTTACAAATGTAAAGTTAAAATACTTAAAATTTCGTACAGATTTTCTCTCAATTTCCCAAATTTCGTAAATGGTTAAATCGTATACGACTGGATATGTGGCAACTATTAAAACTCACCGAATTTCTATGTTTCCCTCTGTAGTTTCTCAGTACTTCTTTCGGATTAACGTCTTCAACCAAAACTGAGTTCCAGTATTTCTAAAATTAAACTATTTTCTTTAGATTTCTAGACTTATACTTATTGTAACATCTATACACCATATTTCTTGTAAATAAATAAATAAAATGTCAATTCTTACGCCGGTTCTCAGTAGATCTTTCTTGAACAATTCGTCTGTTGGGTTGACAGGTTTCTCTGCCTCTAGTTGAGCAGATTCCTTTGCTATCGCCATTACTACCTCAGGTGGTGCCTGTGCCAAACGTTTAATTAAGAACTTTAAGATTTACATTTTAAGACAAAGATACATTTATTTGCAAACATGTGTGTAAAGAGATACTAGTTATTCATTGATGAATTTGATATAAATCTAAAATGTTTTGTTAACACAAGCATACAAACTATTCTTCCAAAGATAAATTCGATTACTTTTTATTTATTCCTAGTGATTCCGCTGAATAAACTATATAGGAACTAAAAATTTCAAACTTCGATTCTATCCCGATAATAATTTAAAAAACAAACCGATATTTTATAACACAAAATTATCTAAACTCTATTTATTTATTATAATTTATTGTATACAGTAATAATACATAAAAAATATAGCAGTTTAAAGCAAATATACAAAGGCGAGTTTTACTCTAGAAGAGTTCAAGATAGGTACTTAGAATGGCAAACAAGCTGAAGACACGCACGATAGAAAGTGGCAATTAAACTAGAAGAAGAGTAGCACTTACTTTTTTGGGTAACAGTCTACTGTCTTCATGATTGTCACTCTTTTGGAATACCTAATAAAAGAATCATCGATTAAAATAACTAAGAATAAAACGTAGTTTTTACACAACTAGAAATAGTAAATTATCGGACGGCTCTTTATAATATAAGAGCGCAAACAATCATGCGGCTCACCTGATGGTAAGTAATAACTGCTGCCTATAAGCATCCGTAACACCGAATAAATTGGTTTTTAGGAAAGAATATGCTCTTCTCACTCTCTTATCTGTTCAGAACAGTCTCACTTTCTTATCTGTTCAGAATACCTGAATAATATGAAGGTCACCAAGCGTACGAAATCGCGAGCACGAGGTATGTTAGATAACAAACACTGCAGTTCCATTGTTGGCATTGTACCCTTTGGCATTGTCAGGTTGATCTCTATACGGTTCACTCCGCAAACCAGTAAATTTGAATAATCCAGCTGACCTGATATCTTCATGTCGGTCACTCCTCACTGATGGTAAATATCTAAAAGTTCCATTTCCACTTTCATCCAATAAGAAAATTAGTAGGTTGCTACCTATATACATAGACGATAGATATTAGAGAACTAATATGACTGACTTACTTCAGCGTACGGATATTGAGGGACAAATCGTCTTCCAAAATCTTTGTAATGTGTTGGGTGATAATAATGACGGTTGGTGTTCAATAAGACGGTTTGATCTGCTACCTCTTTTTCCATTCCATACTGAGGATCTTTTTTCTATTAAGAATAATCACGGAAAGAGTTAACGTCTAATTACTTAATTGTGTTCAACGAAGTATTTTTTTTTTATACAACTTAGAATGGCAAACAAGCTGACGGCCAACTGAGGACTCGGGTGTTATTCCTCTGTACCCAGTAAATTCACGCCATGTTCCACCCTTTAAACCGAAACACAGCCATGCAAACACAACTGCTTCACGATTGAACCTGAGTCCTCAGGAATGGCAACGCATGGGGCGTATCATGGGCGAAACAGTGTACTCTGTTATGTCCATGGTACTGCTCATGTCTATAGGCGACGGTTACCACTTTCCATCAGGTGGGCCGTTACCTTGTTTACCATTCTAAGTTGTATAAAAAAAATATGAATTTTAACATTTAAAGTCATTAAATTTAATGTCAAGCATTGTTCGACTGAGTAACTGTCACATTAAAAACTTTTTTAACAACCAGTTATGTTCACGTGAATTAGAAGAAAATGTAGGTGTCATGTTCTAATTTAGGATGCCTTCTACCTTCTGATCAAAAGTACCTTTTTCATACATTCTGATGATTTTTTACAGCTATACCCTTCTTTACTTTCAACGCCGTCATCTTCTTTATTATATATTATATCTTCTTCATTATTTTCTTTATCCTCTCCTTTCTCAGTATCCTCTTGCTCCGTTGTTAAGTCTTTAATATCCGCATTGTATTCACCTGAGTCTTTTCTTATTTCTCTTTCTATTGATGCTGAGGATGAACAACGCTACAAAGACGGTAAATAAGTAATGTTTACATTAGTTTTTCTTTTTTTTAATTAACAAGGATAGATCTAATTTTTTTGAGTGGCGATCCCGTGCAGGCCAACGTAGAGTAGGACGATTCTAAATGAAGTAACGACCTTGTTACCATTTCATTATCATCCATTATAAAACGAAACTTATAAATTACAAATGCACCCCTATTTCATGCCTATCATAGATTGTCTAGCATAAACTTGATTTTAAAAAATGAAACTAATACGGCTACATTATCGGTATGCCCTAGCGGGGTACAATAAGGGATGGTAGATAAGCAGTGGCGTAACTATACCATTTGGGGCCTGTGGCAAATTCTTTTGATGAGGCTACTTGTAAATTGCTAGCAACGGGGCCGTTAGACCCCGCTGTTGATAAATGCATCACTAGTGAATTGACTAGACTATTTCGCCGACTTTTATTTCGAAATATTTTTAAAGAATTTTTTTTAAGATTAAAAAAATAAATAACTCGTCTATCGACTTGTAGATATTAAGAAATAATAAAACTAATCTTACACACATACCGCGAATAAAATATGTTGTAAACAAAAAAGAAAAATGACAATATAAAACTTCATGTTGTCATGCTGAACTATAGAAGTAGTTCTCCGAAACATCAAAAATCAATAAAAAAGTAAATACTTACATACGTAATTATATTTGCAATTTTAATCAGAATTAGTGATGGGATTTGTAACTTTATGTTTTCTTCAATAACGAACGGTATTTACCTATTTATGTTTACATGTATCTACGTATATACGTACGTAATAAGACTGAAACTAGGAAGGAAAAGAGATTGTTAGTAATGGAGACTGAGAATCCCATTGCTAGCAATATACCCAACCAGGTCGACCTCCTCGCGGTTCCCCCTGAAAACTATCATGGTTAATTCCTGATGAATTCATCATGATAGGCTGACTGGCCTGTTTTCATTCTCATCTATCACCCTTCACTGGTGCTCCGCCAGCGTATACCGTTAGCGCAGGACATACCATTTTCAACCATAAAAAGACTGAAACTATGTAAATAGTTTTTAATGGGTGAAAATGAAATGGTAACCCCGCCTGCGCTAACGATATACGTTTATGGGGCACCAGGGTGGGATGATAGGTGGGGATTAATACAAGTCAATTGGCTTATCGTAACGAATTCGACAATAATTATCCACGATGGTTTTCAAGGGAAACCGTGTGGAGGTCGACCTGATAAAGTATATTGCTAGCAATGGAGCCCGATTACTAACAATCCCTTTCCCCGGAACTATGTAGATACCTTATACATATATTACAAATCAGCAAATTTATTCGATGGGAAAGAAAATGACCGATTGACATGGCGATACCATATAGGCACTGTATTAAGACTCTACTCTAATTGTAGTTTTGAAGCTGATACACTCATAAATAAATAGTCTAGAATCAATGTCCTATCGATTGCAAAAGGAATCATCGAAATCGGATATAAAAAATTAGCTACTTATTTTTAAAGTCGGTTAATATTTATTAGAAAACTTAGATGAAGCTTGGCTTCGCTTTATTTTAATGGATGACAAAGAAATCAAGAATTTATTATTAATGGATTGCAATCAGAATCATCGAAATCGGTGTAGCTGTGTGTCATAGACAATGTTCATCTCTTATATATATGATTTTTTTATATCTATCAGCAACTATTCAGTGTTGCCAGTATTATATTACCTAGTTACATTCCTTGTTTACACTGCAGTAGGTAATTACTTTTTAAATCTTTGTGCACCCGATACTTAGTCTATTTTGAAGTGCCATCTCTCTAAACCTCATAACCTATTATTTTAATTTCATAGACCTGATGGTATATGATAATGACCTGATGATTTATGACAAAACAAAATTTATAATAATTAGTCCTTACTACTTCAGAAATTTGGTCCATATTGATCTATTACTATAAAGATTTCACTGTACTTACGAAATAAAACTTTAATTTTAGAAATAGGTAATAAATGCTGTCTCAGAGTCAACTACAATGATTAAACAGATTAAACTTACGACTGAGTAGGTACCTGTCTAATAACTTATATTTGTAAATGATATGGTAATACCAAAGATAATGCCTACCCAAAGATTTTAGTACCTATCTAACTACTTAATGACAACTAAAAAATAATTGTCTGTAAAAAAAAAAAAGCAGTTGCTTAATAATCGAGTTTTAATCGATTCAAATAATTGAATTAATAGTAAATCGATTGTATGATTTAAACCGATTTATATTATAGTTTTACGTAATTTAAACGAATATAATCCTACAATTATTACAGTACTACGTCTTTTTATTATCAATAGCTAGTTTAAAACATTACAAGCGATTTATTTTATTAGGTATTACAATTAATATTATTCTATCACTTGTTAGCAATTAATTTCACGATGAAGTCTTAACACGACACAATTACAGATAAATAGCACTTACATATCATGTGGATTAATAAAATCATGTTTTTATTTGTGAAAACCTGTAATTGGCTTTTGTCTTTACACTTTTTTTTATAAAAATTTTTAGTTATTGGTTTTTCTTAAATAAAAAATAAAATAAATATCTAATTTTTATCATCGACGTTATGTTTACCTTTTAATCAATTTATAATCGATTAATACATTATTATTATTTTTTAAACAGATTACACAATATATACCGATTATGTAATGAATATTTTTATTAAAATAAAATGATATTGGTCAAATCACGGTATTGATTATATGGATTACATAATGAATTTAACTATTAAAAAGAAATAATATTAGTCAACTAAGACTGTTGATTATTAATATTCTTTTATTCTAGCGCATATTTTGACAATATTCTGAGTGAACACAAAGATGACATGGTCCTTGAATATGATCAACGGATACGATTAATAATCGATACAAAACGAGTTATACAACACTAATTTAATTTGACAGCTCGAACATTTTAGTCAGCTGAAAAATGCATTTATGACTTTGTATTAAAATTAATACAAACAAATAAATTCTTCGTCTATTATTTACAAGTATTCATATTAAATATTATCATTGCAAAGAACTAAACATATACCATTTGGATGTGAATACGTTTAGTTTCTCCCGCGTCTCATTGTGTTGTTGTTTTGTTTATTTAATTTGAATAAAACTATCAAATAATGTTTGGGAGGCCCCGATGCAGAGAGTGGACTCCTCTTGCGACTCAACAACTTCGTTTACGGAGTCTCATACAGGTACGGAATCATTAAAACTTAATATAAAATAAAAAGTATGCATTGGAAGATTTACCAACAAACGCCTACACATTCCAAATGAGTTTCACAATATTTAGCTTATTTATGTGACAACACTAATGAAAATATTCAAATAATAATAATTATAATGACTTTGGCATTTTTGGATAATTACATTTTGGTAATTTTAACATTTCAGTGTTCAACTATGTTAATCTGAAAAAACAAAATCTTACCCCACGTTTTACGTCGCCTCTGCCAGTTTTGTTATAGCTTTTGTAACAGCTTTTTAAGAGTTTACCCTTTTAATATTGATGTTAGACAATGTCATATTTATCTGTCGAGTTTCAAAAACAATTTAAAATATTTTCCAAAAAATCTTAATTTATTATTAAGGATATATGTTCCATCATTTTTGTCAACTTTTTTTTTTTTATTATGCATCGCTGCTTGTCAGCATATACATGAATGCAAAGGTTCTAGATCTTTTAACTCAACACACACTAAGGAAGGTTTGTTATTAAACAAAAAAATAACTAACAAAATATCTACATATTATAAAACAAAGTTGTGTCCTGCCATCTGTATACTTAGATCTTATAAACTACACAACAGATTTTAATGTGATTTTCATTAATTGATAGAGTGATTCAATAATAAGGTTTCTTACATATAGATAGATAGATACTCTTTAATGTTTCCTCCAAAAGATTACAATAGTAAACTTATTATAAATATAAACAATTACGAGAAATAATTACAATGAGAAAACAATGGGCGACCTTATCGCTAAGAGCGATCTCTTCCAGGCAACCTTTGGATGGAGAGGAGTAATTATAAACAATTTGGTGGGAGGCATAATGAAAACTTTTGTCAGTTCTAAATATGGGAGACGTAATACATATAATAGTATAAATATTATCCCTACTCATTATTATATTTATATACATACACACACATACACATTTACAATTAAATTAAATTACAATTCCTACCACAGAATAAGCCACCACTTTTTTTCCCCGTGGGTATTGTATGAGGTGACTAATAGAGCTTAATTATTGAAGAATGGACAGCAGTGTCCCTCTTCAACATCAACAAAATCTAACTGCGATTACCAATCCACCTGCCAAGCGTGGCAACTACTAGACAAAACCTGACATTTATTTATTTATTTTTTTTTTTTTTTTATTTAGGGGGAAGGCTTATGTTCAACAGTGAATGATTAAGGGCTGATATGATGATGAAGTAGAATTTGGAAAACTATTTAAGTACATATACTAAGGTTAAGTTTTATTAAGTACATATATATTACATACAAGTACATATATATTTAGTATTAAGTACATATACATAAACTACGTAAGGTTATTGATCACTCTGCACTTATAACACATTGTTTCTGCATTGTACCCGTGCAAAGCTGGGGCCGCTTGCTAGTATTATATAATGTAAAAAATATTAAACTTTTATTTTATTAATAGATTACACAAACTAAATTTTGATAAATTCTTATCTTAGTGCATTTTTTTTAGTATGTCTCAGGCAAGAGATCTCTTTCAGAAGTAAGCTTGCTAAGAGCTAGAACCATTCCACAGTCCCTTTCTTTTTTTATAAATGTAATGAAGTATATAACACTTAAACATTCTCAGATTGTCGGTTACAACATCAGACCACCTGAGTGGTCCTTGAACCAGTGCAGTTTCTACTTGACCCTGCATCACACCACCATGTCCGCACCATTCTACACGAGTGAGAAAATATCCTCGCCACATCCTAAATGGAAGGAGATTGATTCAGGTACTATTACTTTTCTTTAACTATATTATAAATGAAAAATTTTTTCAGTATATAAGAACATTCATATATGATATAATTCTTTCATGCAAAAATTATAAATAGATTTGCACAAAATTTGGTACATGACTAGGTTTTTTTTAATGGGTGATAATGGAATGGTAACCCCACCCGCGCTATTGGTATACACTGGTGGGGCACCAGTGAGGGATGACAGATGAGGATGAAGCAGATCAGTTAGCCCATCGTGATAAATTCAACAAGAATTGATCACAATGGTTTCCAGGGGGAACCACGTGGAGGTCGACCTGATAGGGCATATTGCTAGCAATGTCGAACTCCATTGCTAACAATCCCTTTCCCCCTACATAACTAGGTTATATTCTAACTTAGAACATAGTATACTTTATATAGTGATTAATGCAAGTGAAACAACAGGATACAGCTAGTTGCTTAGCAAGGATAAGCATTTATGTTAAAAAAAGTCGATACTCACCTTATGAACTCATTACAACAGTAGTAGCTAGTCATCATCTTTTATATATTTATCTAGTTGTATAAATTATTACCACCACCAATCCGTCCTGAACACTCCTGTCAAGTTCAGTCCAGGATTCTCGACCTACCTTTGTATAGAACACATTTTATGGGCAACTCTTTCTCGTATCGAGCTGCCCAATTATGGAACAAACTCCCTTCCCACATACAAGAGAGCCCTTCAATTACCTCTTTCAAGAAAAGGTTGAAGTTACATTTTCTTTCGTTTGAGTCATAATCTTAATTTATTTATTTTTATAATTGAACTGTCAAACCTTAAAATCATTTAACTAAATTTCTATTGTAGCACTACCTAATATACTAATATTCATTTATTTCTACATCCATTGTATAAGTAGGTAGGTATTATATTTATTTATAGTATATGTATTTATGTAATATTTTATTATGTATGTTAATATTTTATTTAACTATATTTATTTATGTACTCTAAATATTAATAGTTGTAGCACTTCAGCTACCCGCTAACAACATGTTTTCTAACTGCATTGGGTTGACTGGAAGAGATTTCTGTCAGAGATAAGTCCACCCTTGCTCACAATATTTATAAATGCATTAACTATGTAATTTACAAGTGCAATAAAGAATATATATATATATATATATTCCTATATACAGTGAGCGCTCCGCATATAAACAACTTTTCCCAAGAGATTGGTTCAAATTAAATGCTTATATAGAGTGTTCACTGTAGATATAACAGAGGAATAACACCTGAGTCCTCAGGAATGGCAACGCATGGCGGGTATCATGGGCGAAACAGTATACTCTATTATGTTCATGATACTGCTCATGTCTATAGGCGACGGTTATCGCTTTCTATCAGATGGGCTGTCAGCTTGTTTGCCATTCTAAGTAGTATAAAAAAAGAGATAAATAAATTCATTCAAATTCATTGATTCATATATATATATATATATATATATATATATATATATATATATATATATATATATATATATATATATATATATATATATACATACTTTTGTATATTTTATTATAGGATATGTATATATATTATAATCATTATTTTATGTTATTTATATATACATTATTTGTTATTATCTTTACTTATCCTCATAATGAAGTACCATGATTCACTGTTCATGCCAAAGGTTGACTGGTAGAGAATGCTACTAGCATTAAGTCCGCTTTTTGTACCGCATTTTATTTGGTCAATAAAGTTATTTAAATGAATAAAATAAATATTTGATGCATTATATCTGTCGGCAGTCTGCTCAAATAAATGGTATAAATGTATACAGTCAACATTGAAACTTAATGATTGATCTTGCATTTGTGGTTGGAAATGATAAATGCTGACAAGACTTTTAAAATTTAAGATTTTTTTTTTTATTTATTAATTTGTAGATTCTTAATATGAATGAACGTAGGTTTCCCACATATAGGGAGTTTTGCCAGTAGTTGCCTCGCTTGGCACTTAGGTTGTAACCACAGTTAGGCTTTGGTAATATTTTAAGAGAAACACTGCCCATCCTTCGACAATTAAGTTCGCTAAGTCTCCTCTTATGACACTTACTGGAATAGAAGGGGTGGCCCATTCCATGCCGGGACCACACGGAAATTTATAGTATTACTATGGATCCATTATTGTTTATTTCGATTCAGCATAAAGACTTAAATAAATAAAACGTATCAGTGGCCTCTGATGTTTAAATTTAAACATCAGAGGGCGCCATTCAACGAATATATGTAGCACAAACAAAACTTTGGCCTTACTCTATCTTAGAAAAGTATTTCATCATCATCATCATCATATCAGCCTTTAACTGTCCACTGCTAAACATGAGTATCTCTCTTGGGGGGTTTTGCCTGTAGTTGCCACGCTTGGCAGACGGATTGGCAACCGCAGCTAGGCTTTGGAGATGTTTTAAGAGGCATGCTGCTGCTTATTCCTCGCCCTTCCTTAATCGCCTCGTACGACACCCACGGGAAAGGAAAGGGTGGCCTATTCTATGCTGGAACCACACGGGATAGAAAAAGAAAAGTATTTAATCAATCAATAATATTGAAAATTGTTTGTCCCATAATCATCATTTTAGCCATTATATGTCCACTGCTGGACATAGGCCTTCCCCATAGACTGCAATAAGGAACGGTCCTGAGCCACCTGCTCCCACTGATTCCCTGCAATGCATTTGAAATCGTCACTCCGTCTCATAGTAATAACTTTTAATTCGCGTTTATTAATATTGTACCTAAACATTTTAATTAGGTACAATGTCTCAAATTCTCAATGTCTTGGTTGAATATGGGTGAATTATCAATCAATTCACGTGACCTGGTGCCGGGTAAATGAATCATTGATAATAAAGTTGACTTACGTTATATGTGTCAATCATTATCAAATGGCGGTGTGGCGCATCGAACTAATTAAGTTATCGCATCATTAGCGTATTTCTAAACTGGTTTCGTATCATTTCTTTGTGATGTTGTCACTTAGTAGTCGTGTTTGGTTGTGTTTCGGTTTGAAGGGTGGGATATGGCAGTGAATTTACTGGGTACAGATGAATAATACCTGAGTGCTCAGAAATGGCAACGTATGGGGGGTATTATGGGCGAAACAGTATATTCTGTTATGTCCGTGGTACTGCTCATGTCTATAGGCGACGATTACCACTTTCTAATTCTAGTGGAATTCGTCACAATGGGCTACCTGCTGACCTGCATTCATCGTCACCTATTATCTGTCACTGGTGCTCCGCCAACATATACCGATAACGCGGACGGGGTTTCCATTCCATTATCACCTATTAAAAAAAAACACGTTCCGATACCTATTATTTTTTGCAGAGATAACACATCGTATGGCGTCCACTAACATAGTTATTCGGATATGGTGTCATCAGTCTCACACATCCAAGGTTAATAGCGAAAAACCACAAGACACTATCATACAAACGTGGGGGGTATATTTCAGTGGCCTAAGATATTTAGGGGCCAACTTAACTTTAAATTTTACATCCGATTGTTTCAAAAGTAACACTTTAGTATTTCAAATGCACGGTGGATATTTCTGTTCATATAAAAGTCTCAAATTAGACGTTATACCGCCTGAGAACGAGTTAGAACAAGGGTCCCTATCTTCAGACTCTTCTGGCAGGACGAATCTGTCAAAGATAACGTTAGAACCGAAATTTATACAGAATCATAAGGTAGTAAAAGAGACAAGGTCTGTGTCTCCTAGTATATTTTCAAGGAAGCACGAAAAAGAATATTCTAAAAGTAACAGTCCAGTTGAGAAGGGTTTCAAGCAGAATTTTTTAAAATTAAAATCTTCTGCCAGTTTAAATATAAGTCAAAGAGAATCTTACACAGAGAGAGAGTGTGATTTTGATAGAGACAGTGATGAAAGGATAAAGGATGATCCTAATTATATATATGAACATTCACCGGACAGTATGGATGTAAAGGAGTTTACGACGAGCGGTTTAAACTGTTTTGGTATATCCAAAACGTCATCGCAAGAAGATTTATCAGGCAGCAAGATCGATTTGAGCGAGATTGCTGAAAACTATGATCTAAGGAATGAAACGGTCGGCGTACCAAAGTACAGGTATCTGGCGATAAATTTCTTAAAATCCGAAATAAGGCCGAGTTACAATGCTACGAAACTACAAAAGTTGCATTTACTTCAGTATTCTATAAAGAAGAGACAAGAGGCTGTGCAAGAAGTAAAAGAGAGGATATATAGTAAATCCGCTGTAACAAACGACAGTTGGCCGAAATTTGATGAGTTTGATGTGAAAACCAAGCTAAAAAGTAGATCTCTAAGAAATTTGTTCTCTCCCGATGAAGATGACGTAGAAAACGGACAGTATTCCTCACATAGTGATATAAGTTTAAAAAATGGTAGAATAAAAGAAGAGAAGCCGGTAAGGCCCAATGGGCCACGTCTCGCTTTAAAATTGAATGATCTCCTTTCATTTAAGGTATGTATAAATATCGTATTATTCTAAATAAGTTTTAATTTGTGAAGTTTTACAAGCGAGTTTCAAAAGAATTTATTGTACCTATGTAAAGTGATTATATTGTCAAATCGATAGACTTTACTCCCTTGTTGTTTCCATAAATTTGAGAGTTGCATTTTATTTTTCTTGTAAGACTTTGTATACAAACATGGTATTCCACGTTTGAAATTTAAATATTTTTAATGTGTCTACGAAATATCTAGTCATTCATTAGTGTTTTACCATGATCGATGCCATTTTTTGCGCAGCAAAATGTATTTGTTCAGAGTTTTATACAACAAGGGTCTACAAAAGTTATATGTATCCATAACATAAATTATGAAAGTGGATGAAGCAAAAGATGTGGGTAAATTTAGAGACTTAGCACGCAGTGCTCTGTACCTACTTCGGAACAGACTTGGCGTAAAGATATTTTTTTTAAACTAGAACTTACAACTTTTTTCAGGCAAAACCTTCACCCTTCCAAAGGGCGGAACACGTGAGACTCACAAAACAATTAGAAATATTAAGGTTCAAGCGGATTATACTCTCCGATGAAAGAGATAGCAAGCTAGCTAATATAAGAAGACTGAAAGAGAGACATGCTAAACTTTTAGAAGAAAATCAAGATATTGGTGAGTTACCATTTCAATATTAGCGTGAATTAAGTAATTATTTTACAGAGCTAGGTGTTATTTTATGGCAGTCAATATTACTGGTTAGTCGATTAAAATATTTTGTTTAGTTCGTGCTACTATCAACATTTAAGAATTTACTACTAGAACATTATTATTAGCAGAAATTCTACGACCTTATTAATTCTAATCGACTAGCTAATGAAATAATTGTACATTTAAACCACTATCATTATATTTTAAATGTATAAGTATAAATATTGTTGGTGATACTTAATAAAATCAATAACAAAGTTGAATGACATTTAGTGCATAAATAATAGATTATGTATATAGAATACATACATTGATGCTCGTTTCCACTTTGGGTGTTTCTGGAAGAGAACTCTTTTTGACTTAATCTCGTCTTTGTACATTAGCTTATCTCTGTCATATTTGTTATATATTATTAGTGTATACAATAGCTTTATGTACTAACTAGTATTTGCCCATGACTTCGTCTTCTTGACCTTTTTTTATGCAACTTAGAATAGCAAACAAGCTGACGACCCACCTGATGGGAAGTAGTAACCGTCGCCTATAAATATGAACAGAACCATGGACATAACAGAGTATACTGTTTCGCCCATAATACCCCCGATGCGTTGCCATTCCTAAGAACTCAGTTGTTATTCCTCTGTGCCTGGTAAATTCACTGCCATATCCAACCCTTCAAACCGAAATACAGGAATTGACTGGAATATATTCACTGACTATTATAAAAGTTGACTACTATGTGTATAACTCATGGCCATTGATCGAGTTCTTGAGGCATCGAGACAAAACTAAATACACTTTTATAGGATTCACGCGAATTAAATTAGTGTTGAAATAAAGAAAGTGGATCTTAATTCCAGGTTTGGAACTAATGCAGAATTATCACACGCTGTCTCGATGGAACGAGTCGATGAAAGAAACCCGTCAATCCTGCGCAGCCATGCGGGACCTGGCGGCTAGGTCGCATGCTGCATTACTCAGTCAGAGGCATCAGCTTTTACTCCAGTTGCATCAGATATTCTATATACAGCAAGTGAGTAGCAATGGTTTTTATGTGACAGTGTATTCTTTTGTTGTGATGGATACATCAGGAATTAAACATGATGGCTTCCAGTAGGAACCGTGTGGAGGTCGACTAAATGAACTTAATCATCGAGGGATGGGCAACAGCATCCCTATTAAATCATCACCCAAAACGGTTGCCAATCCGCCTGCCTAGAATGGCAACTACTTGCAAAATCCCCCTCTATGGGTTAAGCCTATGTTCAGTTAGACAGTTAATGGCTGATATTGATGATTATGATGTAATCAGTGAATTTATTATATTAACATTTCACAGAAAGACACCTCTGTCTGGACGATATGTGGCGTTCGACTTCCCATTTGCGGTGACGAAAACCCCAGTCGGGCATCGAACCCAGTAAGCGACTCAGTAGCAGCCGGATTCGTCGCTCAAGCAACGTGCCTCGCTGCATCCTTCCTGAATCAGCCTCTTCGGTACAAGATCACCTTGCTGGGATCTGCAAGCAAGATTTTAGACATTACCCCAGAATTACCTAACCCTAAGTAAGTTTCTCGTTTTAATAAATGAAGTTTTATATTTGTTTCTCAGCAACGTATCTAGCTGCCTCTTTTCTGAATCGGTTTCTTCAGTACAAGATCACCTTGCTGGGACTGCAAGCCAGATTTTAGACATTACCTGAGAATTAATTGATCCCAAATAAGATTTCTAATTTTAATAAATAAAGTTATGTATCTGTCTCTCAGCAACATGTATAGCTGCCTCCTTCCTGAATCAGCCTCTTCATTACAAGATCACCTTACTGGAATCTGCAAGTAAGATTTTAGACATTACCCCAGGGCGACCTCATTTTGTTTTCGGACGGAAATTCAGTTTGTCTCTTTGCGAGATGTCTTCTTCCTGTAGCAATCTCTTCGTTATTCGATTATCTTACTGTGATCTGCAAATAAGATTTTGAACCCCAGAGCTGAGTTATTCGAAATTTACTGACTTCAAAACAGAATTGCCTGATTAGGCAATTCTGTTTTGAAGTTATGATTATAAGTAAGTTTTCTAACTTCAAACGTCTTGCCTTGCCTAGTTGTTACCTTCCTAAAGGAGGTATAAGACTACTTGCTGGCATAAGCAAACAAGATTTTGGACATTACCTTGGTATTACTTAATTCTAAGTAATTATTCATATCTCTGCAATTACCTATCTGTATACAAAATTTTATTCGAATCGTGTCAGCTGTTTGAGCGTGATTGATCGACAAACATGTAAACATCTTTACATGATATCAATGACATGCATATTAGAGTAATTCTTTTTGTTGTAATTATCGCATTTGACTTTATTTACAACAAAGGCGCGTTCATTGCAAACAATTTACTGATAACAATATTTATCTTCATTTAATAATAACAATAGTACATTATTGCAGCGGCCAGCAACTGAGGCATTGATGGACAAACGTGTAAATGTGGGCCGAGGCGTAGTCGAGGCACACATACGTGAGTCCATCAATGCCTAGTTGTGGCCAAGGCTTGTATAGTACTTTTCTCAAACAATGCCCGGATATCAAAAACACAATTTTATTTTTTAAGTTCAATGACGAATAACGAACAGTAATAATTTTTCACGCGCCATAATGTTCCTTTGTTTTTTTTTTTATTGTATATATTATTTATATTTGCAAGCCTGTTCGAAATTTAAATAAAATCTTTTATTAGTTACCTTCTTGGTAGCCATGTTTCGAAGTAAAAGGTCATTCTATTTTTAAATTACAGGACAGATATGAGTTTACACAGTAATTTATCTGGCCGCAAAACACGACAGATACGGAATTTTCATACAACTTTTGCCGGACGCTGTCCGCATATATCTGGCCAGTACGGCAATTTTGATTTATCTCTAAGAAAATTGTCAAAATAATGCTCACATTTCCAAGCATGTTTGAGAAAAGTATTAAACTACAGTATGAGGTTCTTTAAAAAGGGTATATTAAGGTTTCTTCGGGGTCGGTAACGTGCACGAGACACCGCTAGTATTGGAGGTGTCCATAAGCTACAATGACCGTTTACCAAACGGGTTGTATGCTTGTTTTCCACTTTTGTGGTATATAAAAAAAGTATTAATAATTAAATTGCCATATGGTTCCGACATAGAATGGCCCACCTTCCTTTTCCGTGGATGTCGTAAGAGGCGACTTAGGGTACGTAATGGCCGAGAGATAGATATCAGCATCCCTCTGGAAACATCACCAAAGCTTAACTATAGTTTCCAACACGTCTGCCAATCACGCCAACTATTGGCAACGTCCACCTATTTATATAATAAATGTTAAATTCATATACTACCTACTATTATTACATTTCTTTTTTTTTTTAGTATACCCCTCTTCACTCGAGGTGGTGATACCACACTGTTCCCTTACGCGATGTTTCTTCTCAACAAATGTATTGCCCAACTGCTCTGGGGTCGAGGGCTACCCGTCCCCGACATGCGACCGACTCTCAAGAACCTGGAGAGATTGCTCACTACGCCTAACAATCTGTAAGTATTGTTGATACAGTATTTTGAACCATAAACTGTAGTGGTTAGAACACATATTGGAATAAAGTCATCTACCTATAATCCATATTTATTTATTTATTCTTACCACACTTAGCGATCATCAAGTAGGTGTAGTTATTAAATAGGTATTTTAAACTTTAAATTGTAGAGGTTAGAATGCATATTTATTTAATTATTCATTTTATACTGTATAAAATTCATACATAATTCATTTCACAAAACATATACCTATTTCATTACTTCAATTAGAATGCTTTATGTCCATTTGTCCGTGGTTTCTTTATTTTTATTATAAGGTATTGTGGTTGGAAATAAAAAAAAAATACCGTTTTCTTTTAATAGTTTAGGAACCAATACTTTATGTCAACATATTTTATACGTTTTTACGCATATTACAAAGCATAACTGCAGTTGCTAAACCGTCTACCAAACATGGCATCGCCTGCCAATAATCCTTATGAAGGGCGGCTTATGTTCAACAATGGACTAATATGATCATCGTCATGATGATATTAAACTTCAAAAATATATACAATCCATTGATATAAAATACTATTGTATTATTTTATTATATCAGCCGTTAACTGCCCACAGCTGAACATAGACCTTTCCCATAAAGGAAGGCAGCAGTTGCCACGCTTGGCAGGCAGATTGGCAACTGTCACTCTATGCGGAGACAACTAGACATTCGATTAGATATTAATCTATAGCTTGTTATTATTATATAGTAGAAAATAGTTGAAGCTATATTTATCTTAGACCATCTTTTCTCGCGGGCTAAAGCTAGTGAATAACAAGCAAAACTCGACCATTTGACGTAGGTCGGACACGTCAAAGTTGTTTGGCACGTACAAGTGGCGGGCGGACGGGCAGTGTCCGCGGACGCAATCTCTACGGAGCTTGGTAGCTTCGGATCGCGGGAAGTATCGGCAATTCAACAGGTTCAAGGTATGTTCTAGAAACATTAACTATATTATTACCCACTTATTCATAAAAACTAAAACGTTCTACAAACCTACCAGAGGATGTCTTTATACAAAAGCCGTTTGCTTGGGCACCTCTGGTCCCATTCGTGTTTCAATCGCGAAGCAGTTGTGTTTGCATGACTGTATTTCGGTTTGAAGGGTGGGATATGGCAGTGAATTTACAGGGTACAGAGGTATAACACCTGAGTCCTCAGGAATGGCAACGCATGGGGGGTATCATGGGCGAAACAGTATACTCTGTTATGTCCATGGTACTGCTCATGAGCAGTATACTGTCTAACTGTCGCCTATAGACATGTCTATAGGCGACAGTTACCACTTTCCATCAGGTGGACCATCACCTTGTTTGCCATTCTAAGTTGCCTAAAAGAAAAAACCTATTTTAACTATTAGTGCTTTGTTACTGTCTGTCAAATTGAGAAATTAGTGCAATAGAAAAGGACAAAACACTTCAATGACTAAAATACGTTTATTTTAGGTTTGATGTTTGTATGAATAAGGGGGTAGTTATATAAAATATTATTATTCAAAAGTGATAATTATTTTGAGGACCTCGATAGTGTAATCGTTTAGGATATAACTTCATCTTCCGTAGTTGCAAGTTTGATTACCGCACAATACATATACAAGGGTATACCAAGTGCAACCTTAATAGTAGTTCCTTGAGGAAAATCTTTCTAATTTATGAATATGGTATTCATAAATCTAAGCAGTGATTTACGCAATATTATATGCTACAACATGTCTTAGTCTTATTTTAATATTCAATTAACCATAATTTATTCTTATTGGCCAGGATCTCGGTTTCTTATAGTTTATGATCTAGTAAAAAATGTAACTAGGATTGTCTTTGATTCAATCTCTTTTCCGTACAGCGCTTGATCAAGCTATCTCTACGAATGTATTTCAGTTATTCAGTAAACTATAAAGATATCATTAATTTAATATAGTTCAATTTAGAATATTTGGCAGTGTGTTCACAAGAAGTAAATCAGAAAGCGAATTCAGTAATTTTCAGTTTCATCTACCAAGCCATCAAAACTAAGTGTGGATCAAATATTATTTAAGTGGACAGTAATTTTCTCAAGGAATTAAATCGATATTTAAAAAGAAATCTATACAAACGCGGTCATGTGATCGATTTAGAACGAGAGGTGGAAAAAGAATTTTTAGATTTTGACTATTATTTTTATGTCAAATTGTTAGTTTTATTAATACTATCTTTGAATGTTGACTTGCTACTATTCCAGCATTTGTGTTCATGTTTCTTTGTATTGGTGTAATCTGGGTGCTTTTTATACACAATAAATATTATATTAAAAACAAAGCATTTAGGCGTGCCAATCACTGCCCATTGTTGCATATCTACCTTGCTTCTTCTAATGCTGATTATGCTGTTGTGTACATATTTTATGCAATTAAATATTCCTTTGTGAGCATCAATATAGGAGTTTTCATTCACTCATTCGCTCAGTCAGGTGTCAGTCATCAATTTCACTGTCATTGTCGATGTCATACCCCATCCTTCAAACCAAAACTCGGCTATGTAAGCACAGTTGTCTATCAGCAGAAACATGATTCGTAGGTACCCGAGCAGACGTCTTTTGTACAAAGTCTCCATCTGGTGGTTGTTATAATATTTCATTTGATTAACAGGATGCAGTGGACGGACAGTCACCACACTCTGCTATGAACCTCAAAAGACACCGGCAATCTAGAAGTGTTGGCAGTTACAACGATGATCAAGTAAGTATCTAATAGCTATTACGCTACAAAATTCTGAGGGACATAAATCCCTCGACCATTTAGTTCCATTAGTCGCCCCCTTACAATGCCCACGGGAAGGGAAGGAGTAGTCTGCTCTGTGTCGGGACCATACGGCCGAAGGCACGGTCAATCTCCGACCGCTTTTCAGTCCACGCAGGTTTTGCGACACATGTTTCACAAAGCGTCGTCAGTTTAGAGGAATTCAACTTTCGCATAAAACACCTAATTCAGTAATATTTGCCTAATAGTAATGTTCAAAACTGCGAAATCAATATGAGTACTTAAGGCGGACTCATGCTGATGATTTTGTAATCTTTACTGTCTCAGTGATGTTGTTGTTTTCCAAATAATATATTTTGACTTTATTTTTTATAGGAAATGCCGGCTTTAGACGCATCGACAACTTCAATAATGGGCAGCGAATCCAATATATACAACTTGAAATTAATAGAAAGCAATTCTAGTGAAAATCTTCCACCTTTGAAAAGCCATAATTCCGACTCTGAAATACTGAGATTACTTACTGAAGATAGAAATGATGTGAACACTGAAAACAAAGTAATTTTCACTTTAGGTGATGACACATCACTAGTTAATATAGAAAGTGAAAAGCTACTGCGAATATCAACGAACAACGACGACGAAATAACCTGTTCGACGTGTTTAGACGAAAATGTAAAAAGGATATGTTCCGAAATAGAAAACTTTTGCTCCACAAACACAGAAGTGGAGAAACGGGAAACGAAAGATCTACATGAAGGTTTCGACGTTGTCAGACATATAGAAGCTATGAACGAAGACATTGCCAAGTATATAGAACAAAAGAGCAATGATGTAGAACCTATTGATGTGACATGTGAAACTTGTGCGGATAAAGACGTGTGTGATATAGCTTGTGCCAAAAATGTCACAGAAGTGATTGTGATACCGAGCGCTGAAGCTATTTTAGATACATTGATGAAGTAAATGAAACGAGTGAAAATAAAACAGACAGTTAATAATATTTGTATGGTTATGCTAATTTATCTAAATTCATACTTGAAGCTTAGCTGTTTGATTTGTATGCCAATTGTAAAATTTTAAAGTATGTTTTTCTATGTGTTATGATATCGAGATTGATCTTTTTGATTTTTAATCAATTTCGTCAAAGGACTTTTTGTTTGACTGTATATTATGCGGTATCTTAGCTAATTCTGAACTCATTGCAACGTTTATCCTGTATTGGTCATATACTAATTTTATCAATAAAAGTTTTTTTTTTTTTTTTAAACCAAATCTGCCCAATAAATTATGTTTAAATCTCATTTGTAATAAGATTTGCATTACATATAGGTGTATTCAAATTAAAAATTCTCAGCCATTAATCTGTTGATGTAATGATACAAAATTGTTTATATGTCTTTTAGGTCGTTTATTTGTTTTGTATTACATTACAGAAATAGGTGACTGCAGAATTATTTTATGTTTGAACCTAATAAAAATGTATTAGTTTTTATTGTTTTATATTAATTGTTTCTCTTGTAATTATTGTCTCGCAAAAAAGCGCCTTCTTCATATTATTTCTTATAAAAGTATTAATTGCCATCAATATTTTATTTAAATATAAAAAAAAAAAACAAAACTCATATTCGTGATATTAATATTTTTTTAACTGGTAATATTTTCTCTAAATAAAAGCAATAAAACCTACATTTACTGATACAACGATTATTATAAAAATATAGAAAATAGTAAACATATTTTAATGAAAAAATACATTTATTCGGTTTGATTTTTTAAATAATTAAACATAGCATTTGTAACTGGACTAAAAATAGAATTAGACGATGTAAATTTTAATCAAATAAATATAATTTATCGTGTTAATTTTTAAAACACATTTCGGGTGGCATATACAATAATACGCTTAAGCTAGTAAGTAATTTTATATGTAATATATACCTTACATTTATGAATTACTTGTAAATCTGCAAAAGAAATATTGAATCAAACTAAAATATCAGATTTGGTACAATCAGGCTAGTCCGTGACTTTAATCGTAAGTTACCCCACAAGGTATGCCTTACTGAGATAATTTCTATGCACTAATCCAGGATAACAGCCTATCTGTTCATCAAATTTCATACAAATATTTATATCTCTATATACATAAGATATAGATTAACATGCTCTTACTTTTTAATTCTTCATAAACATTTACAATTCTGTTACATATAAAATTAAACGTTTAATTTTTGGAAAGGGACAAAAAAATATAATCCATCTGTTAAGTGGTCGTAACATTAATAATGCTACTCTAAAAAATCTAACTCAAATTTCACTAGTATATTATACTAGAGTCCAATTTACATTTTACATTCATTAGTAAATTTGTAAATAAATATATAATAAAAACTTTAATCGTCCCTCTTAAAATATTACCAAAGGCTAATTGCATCTGCCAACCCGCCTGCTAAACGTTGCAACTACTGGTAAAACTCCCCTTTTGGGGAAGGCCTATGTTCAGCAGTGGACAGTTATTAGCTGATATGATATGAAGATGATCTGTAATAAGTATGATCGATGTAAACACTATTAGCATGCTTTTGATATTCAAAAGTCATTTTACTTGCAATTTCAAAAGGTTTGATGAAATGTGAATTTAAGTGAAGTAAAGTAGGTTGAAATAAACCCGAAATCATTACAGAATAGCATAGCAATGTCTCATATATACGTATTTCAGAACCTTAATTTTTCATATTCGTTTCTAATTGAACTATTATGATATTGGACAATATTAAAATGAGCATACATTCAATATTTACTTTACTGATTGCTGACCATCAAATATCATATAACATATAACATCAATCATTGTAAACCTATTGGTAAATTGATAAATTATAGCAATTAAATATGCAAAGTCTCTTCATTTAAGAGTTTCCTCTTGTCGGTGCAACTAATTAATGCATTCTCTCCCAGCCAATTCTATCCCAGGCCATATCTTTGACTTCCCTATACGACATGACACCTAGAATATGTAATATAAATTAAAAAATTGTCTAATTTGTTGGCTAGATTGTTTTTGTTCTAAGGATCACTACACCAACACATTTCGCATCTGTGATGGAATATAGTGGCCTTTTAAAGCTGCCACTCAGTTATTTTACTGTTAGTTTATAGAAAATATTATTTTAATTGCACCTATTGAGATTTTATCCACAACCCTTAGATTGTAATGGTATTTAATACAACAAATCAACATCATAGAAGGTATAAGATCACATTTTTTACGTTTCTGTTTTTTTTATTTATTCAATATGTTCTCTTTAATAATATTTTATGTATTATTATTGAGTATTTGAGTGAGATAATAATGTTTGTTTATTTACTTTACATATTGTTCTTGTTATTTTGTATTAAATTCATCTGTCTATACACATATGTTTTATAATTTATCACTGATTTGCCTTGTTACGTGTATTGATTAATATTTATTGAGTGCATTATTTAAAAAATGTATTAAAGATTTTACATAAGCATTTGACAATGTAGCAATTCCCTTGCATATGACTTTAGTATATAATAATTGTTTATAAAACAAACCGTAATCACTATGATGTTTAATCTCTAATTAAAATTTGATGAAAACGTATTTTTCACTCAGCTTTATTTTAATTGTTATTAATTACTAATGGAGTCCCTCAGGGCGCGATTATAAGACCACAAAATGTATTTGTAAATTCGATAAAAATTGTTAAATTAACATTTTGGCATATACCTGCCAATGTATTTAATGTAAATTGTTATTTGTAGTCGGAACATTTTATGTTGCATAAAACTCGTAATAATCCGTTGTTAAGTATATAAATAAATAAAATAAAATATTTATTTAATACCCTTGAAGAAGTTATTTAAATGAATTCATTCACATCCCTATGTGTTATGACCAACTAAGAGAATTATGAAATTATATATAATTATAACAATGCAAAGAACTTTTGGAGGAGGGTAGACGTCAGGCATGCGGCCGATCGTAAAGCTTAAAGCCAAATTCGTGTGAAATTTATAAAATCATATTACGTCAACCACGAATAATTGGAATATAAGATCTAAGCAAGATGATGATTATTATAAACCGTCTGGAGATGAAATAAATGTACAATATGGCATTTAAAATAAATAAATAAATTACTCCTTTTCATCTACTAGTTATCATAGAATTGCAGGAAATTTTAATATTTATTTTAGTTTCACATCTTTCTTTGAGGAAAATGTTTACTTTTACATTGGATCTATATTCACGCTATGTCCCGGTGCCAAGTGATATTATTTTAATATACTAAAACATTTAATTAATCTGCCATGTGGTCTCTGCATAGAATGGACCGACCACCTTCGTTTGCCGTGGATGTCGTAACAGGCAATTAATAGAATTGATTGGTCGAGGAATGCGCAACAGCGTTCCTCTTTATACATTAATAAAGACATACTGCAGTTGTCAACCCGCCTGCCAAGCGTGGCAATTACCTACTGGCAAAACCCGCCTTATAGGGGAGGCCTGTATTCAACAGTGGAAAGTTAACGGCCGATATGATGTTGATAAATGGAAACGTTTAATTATATACCTTTTTTTTCTATACCACTGAGGTGGCAAACAAGCATACGGCCCACCTGCCTATGAATGCCTGCAATACCAGGAATATTACACGCGCGTTGCCGACCCCTAAAAAACCTCTTTTTTACATTTGAAAACGTACTTTTTTACAACTACCCTCCCTTACGATTTAATTATAGGCAGTTTATTAATTTATGAATATACATGTATATACATGTAGCACCTGTATTTAAGTATAAATTGTTTGCTATTCATAATCAAATATCGTAGAACACCGCGTCACAACCGTTCTATTAATGGACTTCACTAGAATAAACGAAAAGATTTGTTCAAATAATCGAAACAATGCTACTCTACCGATGAAACGTTATTTTCAGTCGCAGCTAATATCTAAACTTGAATTAGATACATAACGTAATAATTAATTCAATGATCAATGATTAAAATAAAAATAAGTTTCTTTTTGTAATTCAAAATATTAACGATATATATAATTTGAGATTTTATTTATATGATACTTATTATATAAAAATATAGGGCGATGACTTTCAATTACGGAAGCAATTAGAACGATCAAGCATTTCGCCCGGGTACCGTAGTGTATTTATTTCACAGACAACATATAAACCGCTAACAACTATAAATTGAGCTCCAACTGGGTTGAAACGCAATATTTGCTATTCATTAAATTTTAAAATTGGAAGGTCTACTCATAATGGTTTGTGTTCTTGCCCAGCGAATGTATAAATAGCGAAAGGCCGGTACGCGTGCGCGAACGTTCCCAATTCTAAATTCAAGTCCGGCGCCCGAGCAGCCCGGACAGATTTGAAAATCGAACTCGGATTTTCAAATTCCGAATCCCCGATTCCGACTGGAAAGGCCGCCGATTAATTTAAAAAATTGTTAAAGAAAAAAAGTGTTTCGCTCGTTGTGAGTCTGGACGTTTAATTTTGTGATTCCCGAGTGTTATGTGAAAATGTGTGAACAGTGCGTTCAACGTTGATCGAAGGATGTTTATGCGATAGTAATCGCATGTGGTGAGTACATTTATTCTTATTTTATATTTTACACATTACTAAATTAAAGTTAATGTCAACGTGTTAAGAATCATTTTCGTCGAATACCTAAAATTGTTCTCGAATTTTCGAAATGAGCCTGCTTACATTGTTAATGCTAAAGTTATGTAACAAATCATTAATGCATAACTGCTATTTATCACAATAACAAGACAAATATTGGTCAAATGCCGGTATTTACAGTTTAAATAGGTATGCCCATATTTCTCTATAATTGGTAAGTAGGTGGGTAAATAACAATAGAGTACAGTAACCCTATTCTATTTAATTAACCTACGATGTCTCACTGCTGAGCAAAGGTTTCCATCACCTCCTTTAAAAAAAATTTATTATGCAGCACGTCAGTCCCTTTTAAATGCAGTGCCCTGTGCACTACAGTACAGATGAGGGAAAGGAATGCTAGTATTGCGGATTAACAGTCCCATTGTTAGCAATATACCCTGTTAGGTCGGCCTCCACATGGTTCCCCCTGAAAATCATCGTGCTGAATTCCAAGTGTATTCATCACGGTGTGCTAACAGAGTTGCCTTTTCATCCTCACCTATCACTCCTCGCTGGTTCCCCGCCAAACGTATCCCGTTAGCGCAGGCGGGGTCACCATTCCATTATCATCCATTAAAAAAAGGTTGCATCTAGGTGATCACATGATCCGGCCGGCCTCAGCGACGCGATCTTTACCAACCAATATATTACATAACCACATATCACAATAATCCTAACAAAATAAAACTTATTAAGTTAATTAACTAACTTACGTAAGGGTATTTAACTCCTTTGTTTGATCCTATGAATTATCACAAACATTTCGCAATGGGCCAAAATATCGCGTGGTATAAAAAATAGAGACAAAACGAGAATCTCCTCCCTACAGAAGTTTCTTAATTTTGCTAGCAAACAAATAATTATGGTGAAAGTCCTAGTCATCCTGCCCGTTAGACTAACTAGAACAAATGATCTATCGGTAAATGTCAGCACATGTACGAGAGAGAACACGACACTGGGTATTACTGTTTCCTTCTAATTCGTGCATGCGGTAGAGAAAACGTATTTATCGATGGATTCATTTGCTCCTTATCTATACGAGTTGTTACGATACTTAGAACAGCAAAAAAGCTAATGGTTAACCTGATGGGAAGTTTTTTTTTATACGACTTAGAATGGCAAACAAGCTGACGGCCCACTTGATGGAAAGTGGTAACCGTCGCCTATAGTCGTGAGTACCATGGACATAACAGAGTATACTGATTCGCCCATGATACCCCCCATGCGTTGCCATTCCTGAGGACTCAGGTATTATTCCTCTGTACCCTGTAAAGTCACGCTATATCCCACCCTTCAAACCGAAACACAGCCATGCAAACACAATTGCTTCATGGGTGAAACACGAATGGGACAGAGGTACCCAAGCAAACGATTTTTGTACAAACTGGTAACCGTCGTCTGTAGATATGAATAACATCTTATTTGTAACCACCATTCCTGAGAACTACAATCGTATCCTTCTTCACTTGCTGAACTGATGTGTTAAAATCCTTGATTCGCAGTCAAGAGTTGTCCAACTAATTTATCACTACCTTTTCTTTTTATCTACACATATTAAATAAAAAAAAATCTATTACACGACTAGCTTTTACAAGCAATTGCGTACTCGTCCATTTTGGAAGTTAAATAACCACTTTTAGATGGCGTACCAAGACAAAATATACAGCAGATTTTTAATTAGGGCTTCAGGATTACATCTGTGATTATTATGTCTAGCGTCATGGGTGCTCCGCATGCACACCTTACGTGGGAGCTAGAGGCCCCAAACATCCCACGGAGGGGGAAGGGATTGTTAGCAATATGAACTACCAGTCCCATTGCTAGCAATATACCCTGGCAGGTCGACCTCCATGTGATTCTCCCTGGAAACTATCGTGCTGAATTTCACGAATCATCACGATAGGTTAACTGACCTGCCTTTTCATTCTCACCTATCATCCTTCACTGGTGCCCTGCCAGCGTATACCGATAGCGCGGGCGGCATTACCATTCCATTATCACCCGTAAAAAAAAACTGGCCTGCTTTTTAATTTTCGGCTGTCATCCCATATTGGTGTCCCGCCAGCGTATACCATTAGCGCAGGCGGGTTTGCCATTTCATTATCATCTATTAAAAAAAACGTCCCGCGGAGTCGGCGCCACTGTGTATTCCCATCTTGAACAACCTTCAAACTAACTTTGACATTTCAATGATAATTTTACGAAATTATTTGCACGGTCGGTGTTCAGTTCGCAATTATTATTCTACTAGCTTTTACCCGCGAGTCTGTTCGCGTGACGGGAATTGTTCGGTCCTTGTCATTCTCTAAATGCTTTATATTTTGTGACAAGTGATTAAATCGTTAAAACGTTAAGAGGTAACAACAAATTCACTTACGAAATTTGTACAGATGAATGGATAGACATTAATTACTCTTTCATGCAAAAATTACATAAGAAATTCGAATGAATTTTGCCACACGGGAAGAGTGTCTATATATACAATATATTCAGCATATAGGAAACTTTATGAAAGGAATTGTTAGTAATGCAGACTACCGGTCTCATTGCTAGCAATATACCCTGTCGGATCGACCTCCATGTGGTCCCCCCTTGGTACCCTTGTGCTGAATCTCAGGTGTATTCACGATGGGCTAACTGACCTATTTTCATTCTCACCTATCATCCCTCACTGGTGCCCCGCCAGTGTATACTGTTAACACAGGCGGTGTTGCCATTCCATTATCCAATTCCATAAAAAAAAATTCCCGATCATGCGAATGAAGTCGCGTATTAGAAGCTAGTCTATCTGTAAATATAAAAAGACTGACTCATAGACTCTCTGAATTATCAACGTACACTTTAAACAGCTGGAGTTAGAATAGAAATATGTTGGGAATAGCTGATTTTATGTTATAACGGAACGCATCCGCTAACATTTCCTGAAATTTCCACACGCGAGGTAAATATTATGTAAGTACGTATATTGTTTTGTTTTGTAAAACAATAAGCAATCGTGCACACACACACACACACTGATGTGTAGAATCACGTGTTTTATATACATTTACTTCATAAAAAAGAAGCTTGAACCGTCACACTATAATTTAAGATAGTTATACAAAATAAAAATTGTAGTAAAACTAGGTCTTGTTTTTTATAATCTAAACTGACCCATTTTGATAAAATTTTTATGGGACCAATTTGAAATTGTATCCTGTCAGATAAAAAATAAATTTTCCATATCGGTTTATGAATGATGAAGTTTTGAGGTAACAAACATAAAAAAATACAACCGTTTAATTAAAAACTTTTTTTTTAATCGATTTAAAGATAGAAACAAAAAAGTTAGCTTTAACCGTAGCTAACATACAATACAAAATTGGGTAAAACTTCAAAAAGAAAATCAAACAAATTGAGAATTTGGAAATTGTTTAAAAAATATTTTGAAACCTATATGGAAGTAAACTCTATCAATAACAATATATCGTCATAGTCGTAGAATACTGACGGATCTATATATGTAATATTTTTCCGATCCGTCAGTATTTTACGACTATGACGATATGTATAAATATATATGTATATTAAATATATAAACTAAATAAGGCGTCTTTTAATTCATAATTCATTATTATAATATGTAGACATTAAATAAAGAAAGTAAACAGCCTGTTTAACATACCATTTGTGGTATAAAAAAAAGTCACTATAGCCAATGGACACCTGCAACACCAGGGGTATCACGTACGTCTTACCAGACCTGAAGAAACCTTAATACACCCTTCTCGTAGAACCCCATACTGTAGTCTCTAGGGAAATCTGCGACAGGGGAGTTACTCTGAAACCGCACAGTACGCGATCATTCAGTTTAAGGGGTAATATAAAAACGTGACGCCATGAAAAGTCAAAAGTTCGGTTTATAGCTACGTTTTTGTTACTGTTTCATTGTTCATTTGTTCGTGAGTGTAGTTATTGATCAGTCATATATAATTATATGCGTCACATTATTATACTTGACCCAGTAAGATGCAGTGCCAAATATGCAATATATTATTTTGATACATACACTATCCATTTAGATTGCTACTGATCGAGTACTTTATTTGAAACTTTATAACTATTTGAATATATATATATATATATATATATATATATATATATATATATATATATATATATATATATATCAGGGGGGAAAGGGATTATTAGTAATGGAGACTAAAAATACCATTGCTAGCAATATACCCAACCAGGTCTACCTCCTCGTGGTTCCCCCTGGAAACGATCATGGTTAATTCCTGATAAATTCATCATGATGGGCTAACTGGCCTGTTTTCATTCTCACCGATCACCCTTCACTGGTGCTCCGCCAGCATATCCCGTTAGCGCAGGCGGCGTTACCATACCATTTTCACCCATCAAAAAAAAATATATATATATATATATATATATATATATCAAGAACTATTAGAAACTTGATAAAAATTAGAATTTCTATTATATTATATAGATATAAATACAATTACATAGGTTATTTGATTACAATTATTTTTGTTTAATTCCGCTACCATTAGTATGCCAACACTCGAATATTTACCACCACTATTACTAGCAGAAGTTTCACAACATTAAATATTAGCCATCAATCTCCGACCGCTATTTCGTTCGCGCACGTTTTGCGACACGTGTTTCACCTCTAAACATGGCATCTTCAGGCAAATTATTAGATCGCTACTCGGAGCCTAATGTTAACGCGAGCGTATGAGCGTTCAGCATCCAAACGACGAAACTGAGTACAACATATTCAGCTTAAAATTCGATGTCTATATTTATTTATATCTCCAAAATGGTGAAAAAATCATACGACTCGCCTGATAGTAAGCGATTACCACAGTCGAGACTCAAAAGCATTCAATAATAATATCCGGATAATCAAA